GTGCACGATCGCCCCCCCCGCATGTGACCGATGCCCGTTTGTCACAGATCCAGCGCGATATCCGAGCAACCGACCGACGGCTGAACGACGTGCAGCAGACCATCCGCGACGAGGCCAAGCGACTGCCCAAGATGAAGCCCAAGGACGCCAAGATGCACGTCGAAAAGGTGACGATCTCTGCAGCGCGCTTTGCGCCTTCCTCGATCGTAGATCCCGAAATGGTGTGCTGGCAGTTAAGACAATTTGTGTTGATTGTTAGCAGTGTTTGCGGTCACGAGTCGGCGGTTGAGTGAGTGAGCGAGACATCGTCTCGGGTCGAGAATCCCTGCCATTTGTCAGTTATTCTTTGTAGTATTTGCGTCGCTCTCCACCAAATCCTGCCAACGTTGTGGCTCAACTTCTGTTGATGTGATTGGAGCCTTGGCAGCTTAACATAACCGTGCCAGCTAGGCTCGACCACTGGTGGCGTGGTTCGACCACTGGTGGCGTGGTTCGACCACTGGTGGCGTGGGTCGACCACTGGCAGTGGGGCTCGACTATTGGCGGCGTGGCTTTCACTGGACCGCTGGCGTCATGACCGGACCACTGGCGACGTAGCTCGACCACTGTCGGTGTGATCTGAGTGCTGTCGCTGTAATCTGACTCCTGGCGGTGTGATCTGACTCCTGGCGGTGTGATCGATCTGACTCCTGGCGGTGTAATCTGACTCCCGGCGGTGTGATCTGAATCCTGGCGGTGTAATTATCTGACTCCTGACGGTATAATCTGAATCCTGGCGGTGTAATCTGACTCCTGGCGGTGTGATCTGACCGCTGGCGGTGTAATCCAACCCCTGACGGTACCGCCAGATCGACCTGGAGCTGGCACAGATCGAGGAGACGATCAAGGGACTCTTCTCGGACGTTAACTCGCTGCAGGAGGGCCGCCACCCGCAGGCGCCAGAGTTGTACCATAACGTGCAGCAGCTGCATAACAAGTGGATGAACGTGCACACCAGCATGCAGGTACTATCCGCTATTAAACGGCCTGGCTAACCACGATCATTGGCGGTGCAGTGTTTACCTTGTGTTGCGGCGTAAGCTTTTGATTATTGTCGAAAACATGTATAAGGTTTTTCTGCCGATATAATTTGATGCATATTCCTACCAAGAAAAGGGTGTATCAGTTTTAGGTGCATAATGAAGCATGGAGCTTAAGCTAATGGTGGCTCCTTCTCCAAATATGAAAGGTATCGCCTTCGAAGTCTCCCTAATCCGGACATGTTTCTTGTGATCCCTTTGGCGTTCGGGCAACCGCTGAGCAGGACGCAACCTACCTCGCTCTTGGGCTCGCAGGACACCCTGATCGGGCCGCTCAGTAAGCGGATGAATGAGGACCCAGATGCCATGTTCGCGCGATTGATCAAGACCGACGAGAACTTCCGTTTCTTGCACGAGTGTCTGGAGTGGGTTCGCGAGAAGCTGGTAAGGACGCGGCTGCGACCAGGCTCACCTCGGCCGTGTACTACGGCGCTGAAGCACAAACTGTACGAGGCAGCCCGGGAGCCGGAGAGTTATGCTCCCTAAAAGCGCACCGCAATTCATGTTGGTATGATGTGCTAATTATCGTGCGCGTTGCTCAGGGCGAAGGCTTGTCCACGTTGTATGTGAGGTGGCTATTTTGAAAATGTCGTCAAATGAACGTGCACACCAGCATGCGGGTACTATCCGCCGTTTAACAGCCTTGCTCTTCACGGCCATTGGCGGCGCAGTGTGTACCTTGTGTTTGGGACAATTGAATAGATTCAATTACACTCGTCTTGCCCTGTTATTCGGGAATAATTACCAAAGCACTCTTACGCAGTGTGGGATCAGTGCGCGGTTCGTGAGTGGTCATCGCGGGATTGGAGTTGGGTGGCCAGTGTTGGTGAGTGGTCATCGCGGGATTGGAGTTGGGTGGCCAGTGTTGGTGAGTGGTCATCGCGGGATTGGAGTTGGGTGGCCAGTGTTGGTGAGTGGTCATCGCGGGATTGGAGTTGGGTGGCCAGTGTTGGTGTTCGTCGCCAGGGTCAGCTTCAGGAGGCCGAGTACGGACACGACCTCCACTCGTGCCAAGAGGAGCTGGAATCCCACCACAAACAGCACAAGGTCATCGACCAGTTCCAGGTATGTTCCTGTGGAGGCTACTGGTCAGTTCCAGGGGCTTGCATCCACAGAATAATCCCACTCGCACAGGTAGATGTAACAGGAGTAGTGTTCCTGCACGTTCCGGGATCACGTTAAGCTGTTCCTGCTTGGCTCGAGTTGGCAAAGCATTACAGCTCGGCGGAGGTGTCGGCGACAGGCCAGCCGGTCTTGGTCCCCTGAGATGTATGGTCTGTGATTGGTGTATTTTGCACGCATTCCCCTGGCTGTTACGTACCATACTAGCACATGTTAGCTCTGACCCTCCGGATGTCGCCTCTCAGCTGTGTAACGATTAGCGCGATGGGCTCTGACCTGACCCCGCTATCACCGCCAGGTAAACCTGGACCGCTGCGTGGCCGCCAAGAACAACTACGACCATGATGAGCTGGCGCTGTACATGCGTGTGCTGAGGCCAGCTGCAGAAGACGTACGCCGACCTGCTGTCCACCTCCAACAAGCGGCTCTCCGACCTGATGATCCTGCACGACTTCATCCAGGGCGCCACCAACGAGCTCATCTGGCTGAACGAAGAAGGAGGAGGCCGAGGTCAACCGCGACTGGAGCAAACCGCAACCAGGACCTGCGCCAGCTGGACGCACACTATGAGGTCAGCGACGCACTGGAAGCGGAGAGGGGGAAATCCGTCTTCTTGCTGTGTGATGTTGGTGTTGTTGCGAAAAGTATGGAGGAATACATGAAATACGGGACAGGTCCAATATTCCGAACGAGGCGGTTAACTGTGTATTCAGCAATATTTCATTTAGCTTCTTAAGCTTGCTTGATTTCCCGAAGTCCGCAGCGTGTTTTGTTTGAGATCGAGAGATGGCTAATCTCCGTCCTCGTCGTGAAGCTGCTGCGGCTGACGCGCGCCGCCGCTGTTGCAGCACGTGATGAGCGAGCTGGAGCGGCGCGAGCGACAGTTCAACGCCATCCAGGAGCAGGGCGGCTCGCTGGTGGCGCAGCACACCCGGCCTCCAGACGGTGGAGGCTTACCTGGCTGCCATGCAGGACCCAGTGGTCCTGGCTGCTCCAGTCACACTCTGCCTCGAGACGCACCTCAAGCACGCAACAGACCGCGCACAAGCTCTTCCAGGACGTGGACGAAATGGCGCACGTTATTAGGGAGTGAGTCGCGCTGTGGGGTGAATGGGTCGTGCTGTGTTTTCCTCGTAAAAAGTGAAGTGAAAAGTTTGGCGTTGTTGCCTTAAACTTCGAGCACATTTTAGCCGGAAAGTGCCTGACTGAGCCTGTGTGAGCAGCAAGCAATGTGCCTCAGTCAAGCTACATGCATCTACTTGTCGGGCTATGTCTAATTTCGATTGAATCCTGAATTTTTCGGTTTAACCCCTCGCTATCACCCGCTGGCTCACATCACATGAAACACCGGTGTGCTCACTCTTCCACGGGCCCCGCGTCAGCCGTCTAACCCCGCGTCCGCCTCACAGGACAGGACGAGCGCCTCAACACGGAGTTCAGCCAGACGGACTTCACGCTGGACGAGGGCGAGCAGCTGCTGCGCGACATGCAGGAGCTGCGTGACCAGATGAGCGGCCAGGCGGAGGTCATCGACGAGCTGGAGCGGCGCGCGCACCTGGTGACGCCGCAGCGCCAGCGCCGCGAGCGCCTCGACGGCCCGCTGCCGGTCACCAGTATCTGCCAATACAAGAACGCCAACGTGAGTGCCGACCGCGCGCTGGCGGGGCACGGACCTGTGAGGGTGGGCCGCTCTGGCCTGAGAGGGGTGCGTGGAGGTTGGTGGGGTGAGGTGGATCTGCCGTGGAGAAAGATTCGGTTTCGATGCCTGGCTTTACCCGCTCTGTGGTGTCTCTTTTCTCCTGCTACTCGGTCGTGTCACCCCACTCGTCCCTGCGCGCAGATGACGATTCCAGAAGCAGGAGAAGTGCACGCTGCTGGACAACAGCCACCGGACCAAGTGGCAGGTGCGCTCAGCCGGGTGGTCAGCAGGGCGCGGTGCCCAGCGTCTGCTTCCTGCTGCCGCCGCCCGACAGGAGGCCCTGAAGCGGTTTTGCAGCGGCTCAAGCGACAGTACGAGATGTCCATTCACTCTCTGGCAGCGCAAGCAGCTGCGCATGCGCCAGAACATGATCCTGGCCACCATCAAGGTGGTCAAGAGCTGGGACCTGCAGCAGGTGAGGACATGCGAGGTGGGGGTAGCGGACGGTTACGGTCGGCGACTGATGACGGGTAGGTTGGCAGCGTTTGGCTTGAGTGTTAATGTCTTACTGCAGCGTAATCACACGTGCGTCTCTAAATTCGACGTTTCCATCAGGGTAGTTGACTTCGTTATTCGCCATAGGTAAGCTGATGCGACAGACGTGTTTCAAAGATGTTCAATAAGGGACTTTTAAAAACCTAGTTCTGTGGGCCTTTTTGAAAGGACAAATAAGTGTGTTTTGTGGAGGCCGGTTCTACAAGTGACTTCTTGCTGGGCAGTTCATGGCAATGGGCAGGGACCAGAGGGACGCGATCCGGCGAGCTCTCAACGAGGACGCCGAGAAGCTGATCCAGGAGGGCGACCCGAAGGACCCGCAGCTGCGTCGGCTGCGACGTGAGATTGACGAAGTCAACCGACTCTTCGACGAGTTCGAGCGGCTGGCGGCCGAGGGTGAGTGGGCTGACCCGCACGCCGGGCCGGTGGTAACCCCCTGCGGCTCGCAGCGGCAGAATCTGCTCAAGTTTTACGGGGGCTTTTTTACCAGCCGACCGAGGCAAACATTTAAAAAATGTGGTAGGATGTGCACACTTACCAGCAGTTTGAAGGGGAGATACATGTGTGAAAATTGTTGCCTGTTTTGTTCTAGACACACACACACGAAAAAGGTTAAATGCGTCGGCAGTGGTAGTATTAAGAAGCACGTGGCTTTCTCGCAGCTAATCGGGAGTGCTAAGCGCATAAGTGGGTCCCTTTTTCCTTACCGTATAGTTTACTTTTGGCACACCATAAATGCCTAGGCCGCGTGCCAATTCGGACCCGTCCTAACATAGTGCGCCTGGCCGCCGCAGCGAACCCGACCAACCAGTTCAACACCAAGGTGACGTCGCTGGAGTCGGAGCTGACGAAGGCGGAGGGCGAGCTGGCGGACCCGCTGCACGGCGCCCATCCCGCGCGACGCCCCGCGACGCTCAGCGGCTGGTGACCAAGCACAAGGACTGGGAGAACCGGCTGCAGGTGCGCCGCGCCTCACGTCCTGGGGGCTCCGGGCAGAGCAGAGGATAGGGAAGTCTGACCAGCGCGGGTCCTAGTAGATTGAGTCGTTTTTGATCGGTCGTGGCTTGTGCGAGAGAGGGCAGGTATGATTTGGCTGTGGACGAAGCTTATTTGTGGAGTCAGGCCCGCGCCGTGGTGGGCGCTGGCTCGCTATCCTGCTGAGCCACGCTTTACGTAGCGTTAGGTGAGTGTATGTCCTCGCTTAGGTCGGGGCGCTGTCCACGTCAAATGTCTGCCGCGTCGTTCACATCTTAATCTACCGTGGCTTGCCGGCTTTCCAAGCATGCCAAGCGCAATGTGTTGACGGCTGGACTGTTGCTGTGAATTTTACCATAGAGCGTTGTGAACGCTGTCGGGGCTCGAGCCGGCTGAGTTAGTACCGAGGTCTTATGAGCAGTCTGGCGTACACTGACAAGTCGGTCCCGTCCCCCAGCGTCACGAGCCGACACTGGAGAGGTGCGCACCATATACGACTCGCTCAGCAAAAAGACGCCCACAATGCAGGCTAAGCTCGACAGAGTGAACACGCAGTGGGGAGAGCATCTGGAAGATGTCACACACTTACATTGAACGGTATGACAGGTCCCAGCGACTTCCGTGTGACCGTTTTGGGTTGGTCTGTGATTTATACGCCTGGTTGAGTTGGTGTCGTTTGTCGACCATGCGTCTTTATTACCCGCCATGATGATGCATGGCACTGATCGACATCCAAGAGGGCTGTGTGCGGAGCTGTGGGCTGCGTGGCTCATGTGTTACATCGCATCCCGTTAAAGATGCAACATTTGCCTATATGCCTTATAGCTACAAATGTCAATGTGGACAGTCTGCTTGGCGTGGTTGTCATTATGCTGTGTGGTGTTTCATCCCCTGGTGATTAAGCCGCGGAACCACGGCATTAAGAAGCATTATGCTAATGCCGACTCAGGAGAGGCTACAAAAGCGCCCCGTCCACGTCTCCTGACAGTAACAAAGTATCCCGTCATGCTCTCCGACGGCCAACTGGATTAACGCCCTGTCCGCACCCCTGCCCGCAGTCTGAAGTGCGTTGAGGTGACCGTAAATGAACTGGAGGAGGCTACCAATGTGGTCAGTCACCTGGAGGCCAAGCTGAGCGACTACCGCCAGCTTCCCGACGACCGCGAAGGTCTGAAGTCGGCCCACCTCAGCCTGGTGGACCTGCAGAACAACCTGCAGAAGAAACAGGTGCGCCCGGGAACGGGCAGGCGATAATCCCGCCATCGGGAATACCGATGTGACAGCGTTGCATGGGTGGTATTTGCAAGGTGGTTTGCCTGGTAAGACTGTCGTGCTTAGTCATTATGACGTGGGCATTACTTTACGGACCGCATGTAGAGGCAGAGAGTACAACTTGGGTACTCTTGCTGTCCACGCAGAGTTGTCAGTGATGGGCTCGTCGTCCTAGGACACAACTCTATCGCGCTCTTCGCGCCTGCGTGTTGAAGCCGCACTGCTACGCTACCGTCTCGGCGCAAGGCGAATCTGTTCACTGTACTACGCTCCGCGCCGTATGTTGCTTCCGTTCTGACATAGTTCCGCTGCTCTCCGCCAGGGTGCGATCGAACAGCTCAACGTTGACATGGGTAAGACGCGCAAGACGACGGAGCGGACGCGTCCCCGGCAGCGGAACCACCCGGACGTGGAGGAGCTGGAGGACGACGTCAACCGCGTCACCAAACAGTGGACCAACTGCTGCGAGGGCGTCGTCGACAGGTGCGCTCGGGCTGGACACTGCGTCAGCGGAGAGCTCAGATGGCGCAACTGTGGGCTTGGCCGCAGGTCCCTTCCTAGGGGGCTGCGTCAAAGGTGGCCCGTGTCTTCATGCTCGACTCTTATAGGCTAGGGCCGAGTAATCAGTGGCCTGTCGCATTCATGTGATGGTGCGAATGCTGGTCGTTTCGACGAACGACATCAGTCACCTGTTTCGACATGCCGCCGTTTTACTCAAGCTTGACCGAGTTCGGACCACTGTCCAGGCCTTTCATGGCAGACTTCGTGAAATGACTGCCATGGCAGGCATTGTCGCCGTGGACTCCGAACCCGTCGGCCCAGCATTATGTCCAGTCCACCCGTGTCTGTCGTCTGGAGGGCTTCGGGAGGCCTGGTCACGTGACCGTGCGGCGGCGCCGTCGGCAGGCTGCGCTCTGTGGACCAGGCGGCGGACCTGCTGGCGCAGTACGAGCAGAAGGAGCGCATGGAGCGCCAGTGGGCCTCGCAGATGGAGGCGGAAGCGCGGCACCGGCAGCAGGAGGAGGAGCGCGCTCGGGTCAGTGTCACGCCGCCCTCGGTCGCCGCGGACCGCGGGCGGGCCTGGCTGCCGGCCCTGGTGTTGTGGAGGTGCTGTGTCTGGCACGTCACATTCTCAACAGCCGATCAGGAGAATGCCGCAAGAGTGCTGGTGGACGGCGGACGCCGGGCCCGCTCACGCCGGACACTGGACATGCAAGAACACGGGCTTTGTTAGTTCAGAATTATACTGGCAGATCCAGTATAACAGGAGACTCTGGCTGAACGACGTTATCAAGCAAACATTGGCTATTTTCTTAACGCGCGATATTTCAAGTTGTGCTTTGATCACGAAGTGCATGAGTGGCATGCACTCGTGATCATAAAGTACAGCTTGGAATGTCGACCATCAACGACTATAACCAAAGTTTGTTTGACAACATCGTTTGACTAGTACCGCCTGGTATATCGAGGGTCAATAGCCGCCAGCGTAAGAACTAGAAGCTCTTATTGCCGAAAACCATGGTCTCAAGACCTTCCTTGCTTGATATCAAGGGCACGAGCTTTGTTGTTTTTAATGTGAGGTCATTCGCTTTGCTGCCCGACTCGAGAGGCTAGTCTGGAGACGGGTTGGAATGGACGTTTGTTGATGCATTTATACATACGTGCGTGTAAACGTAAGCTAGCTACAATGTGGCTTCACGCTGCGTCGCACCCACATCGGGAACGAGATTCATCCAGACTGACAGACAGCGAGGTAATTGTTGCCATTCGGCATTGTAGTGAGATAAACCGACTATTGAGCTCGTCTGTGTGAGCGCTCCATGTGTCGCCTGTCTGTCGCCTGTCGGGTGACGTCAGGCCATGTCACGTCCGTGAAACATGCAAGGAGCAAGAGCGCGCGGCCCGCCGTCGTGTGCCCGTCGCATCCTGCTGAACCTCGCTCTGTTGTGGCCATTCTCAGCAAGCGGTGATCGAGAAGTACCGCCAGTGTGACGAGTCGATCGCCGACTTCCTTGGCTGGATGGCCAAGGTGGAGAAGCGGTTGGCCAGTCAGGAGGAGGTCCAGGAGGACGTCCCCAAGCTCCGCAACCAGATCAACGTGGTCAAGGTCAGGTCATCGCCCGAGGCGGTGGTCGTAATTCGCCGCTCTTGACAGGCCTCAGTTCTCTGCATCTGCTGTGGCGAAGATGTTGTGCAGTGTTGTAGAGCCAGCACTTAAGACCTACACCGGGCTAAATAATTTCAAAATATAATGTTCACCCCGCGACACTAGGAATTTTAAAACGTCATATTCGGCAAAGCTTAGACCACTGACGTCTTCAAGAAACTGGAATGCTGTAGGCAGTTTTTGTCCTTGTTCTGCGCATGGATCGCGTCACGTCAGTCCTCGACTGTTCAGAAACGGTCCACAATCGCTCTGGTTTGCGTGTGGCTAGTTTCCACCTGGGGTCACTCTGGCATCAGCTTCTACTGACGCCGCTCTGTCTGACGTCTGTTGTGAGCCGACCGTTGCGCCGAGGCGCCCCGGCCGGGCGCTGACCTACCGTCGCTGCCGTAGGCCATCAAGGATGAGCTGAAGCAGCAGCAGCAGCGCCCGGTGTTCGCGGCGCTGGACCAGGTGCAGGACGTGGCCGAGCGTGCCGGCGACATCCTTTCCAAGGACGAGCTCAAACAGCTGCAGCACAATGGACAGGAGCTGCGCCAGCGGTAGGCAGAGGCGGAAGGCGGCTCGGTCCGAGGCTGGCACGAAGCTGCTGTTCTTTGTGTTGCCTCGAGTGTTAAGCGGAACTTCGGCAGGTAGTCCTCGCAACGCGTCATAAGGTTAACGGGTGTTAATTTCGCTCAAGCGTCGTATTGTGAGGATGTCACGGCATCCGTATTTGCAAAACTGCGGCACGATGTCACACCACGGCCCCGAGCCGTCGTGTGATGGCACCGAGGCCGTCCTGCGGCCGCATGTGTTAGTCTCGTCCCGGCGCGGCCCGGTGACCTCGGCGACCCCGGTGACCTCTGCTGTGGTCACCGCAGATACGACACCGTGACGGACCGCAGCGACCAGCTGCTGCGGAGCCTCGGCGCCTGCCTGGACGAGCTGAGCAAGTACCGCTCCGACCTGGACACGTTCGAGGTGAGCGGCCGTGCTGCCGCGGCCGGCCGGCGGAGGCCGCCACTCGGGTCCGCTGCCGGACGCTCGGTGATGATCCGGCACTCCGGCATGCGGTCGGAGTGTGGTGTTAAACGTTCGGTCGGGAGACTAAGTCTGGCCGCCGTACACGTTGTCGCGTCCAAAGCGACTCTTCAGCGCCCTGTCGCGTGACGGGCCGGCACTCCGGCGTGCGGTCAGAATGTGGTGTGTGTGGTGTATGCGGTCAGAGTGTGGTTTTTAACATTCGATCGGGAGACTTAATCGTGCCGTACACGTTGCGCACCCCGTGGATACGCGTATCCGAGGCGACTCTTCAACGCTCTGTTGCGTGTCCAGATTATGTTATCTGCGTGATCTAAGTGTACCGTGCTGCCTCGAGGTCTGATTTGAAAATTTACTGACACCTGCGCGACTTAACCGTCTATTGTTATGCTTGCATTTGTATTTGCTGCTGAAGACCCTTTCCATTCAATCTACGTCTGAGATGTTCATAAACAAAGACATGGTACAAAACAAAGCTTTTCATTAGATCATGCTCAGGGCTAGCAGAAGGACGCAATGCTGCGCTCCTTTGTGTTGAGACGAACGCCTGGCCCCTACTGACTGCCGCTCCCCGCCGGGCAGACCTGGCTCACCCGGGCCACGCACACGCTGTCGGACAAGGAGCGGCAGCTCTCCGACCTGGGCAAGCTGAAGTCGAGCGAGCAGGGCTGCCGTGACCTGGTGCACGACGTCATCGCGCACCAGGCCGACCTGCGCTTCATCACGGTCGCCGCGCAGAAGTTTATCGACGAGAGCAAGGAGCACCTGAAGACGCTCAACGACTTCCGCACCAACCTGCCGCAGCGCATGGGTCATGTCGAGCCGCGCGACTACGGGGTCAAGCGCGAGGTCACCCAGGTCACGCAGGTCAGCGGCGGACGGCGCACGATGACGAGAGGTTGGCGCGGTGGGCTTTGGTTTGAGATCAGGTGATTGGAGGAATGATGCGTAGGGTATTGAGGTGACAAAAGATAGGATACGTTCTGTGTTTTTGATGATGCGCCGGGAGTCAGGTGTGAATTCATGTTTAGCTGAAAATATTATTAATTTCGTATTGCAGCTGGTTCAACTCTCATTTTTCCCCGGACGCTAAAATGACTACCAAGGGCGGTTTGATTGTCTGTGAAGGACGCTTTTAGAATGTCGGCTATCAACCTGTCTGTCTGTGCTGCACGCAAAAATAGGTTCGCACGATCCGATTTTGCATAGTCTCTCCCCTCACTCTGTAGTTGCGTTATAACTCCATTCCTCGTCATCACACGCCATTGAAGATCTTTCACAGCACTGACACCGCACTCCAATCCCGCAGGCGTACCAGGACCTGCTGGGCCGTGCCAACAAGCTGTCGGACAAAGTGTCCAGCCTGGGCGGCAGGCAGCGCGAGTACCAGGACGCGCTGGACCGCGCTAGCCGCTGGCTGCGCGAGGTCGAGCCGCAGGTGCAGAAGCTGGTGACGGAGCCGGTGGCGGCCGAGCCGCGAGGCGTACAGGATCAGCTTGACCGCGCCAAGCACCTCAACAGCGACATGCTCTCGCAGGGCAAGCTGTTCGACAACGCCACGGCGTCGGCCGCGCAGCTGGTGAAGGCGCTCGAGGGCCAGATCACCCCGAAGGAGGGCGAGCGCATCACGCGCCCGCCGACCGACCTGACCGATCAGTACCGCCGGCTCTCCGACGCCGTCATCGACCGCTGCCAGGCGCTGGACATGGCGCTGGTGCAGTCGCAGGGCGTGCAGGACGGTCTCGACTCGCTGATGGCGTGGCTGAACCAGGCCGAGGCGCGGCTCAAGTCCATCCTGAAGCCGGCCAGTCTGAACCGCGATCGCCTGACGGAGCAGGTGCAGGAGCAGCGGCTGCTGCAGACCGACATCGACTCGCACCAGCCGGGCGTCGACCAGATCCAGCGCTCCGCGCGCCAGCTGCTCGAGACGCCCTCTAACGCGCGCATCGCCAAGAAGATCGAGGAGAACCTGCGCGAGCTGACGACGCGCTTCGACAAGCTGCACGAACGGTGCCAGGAGCGCGGGCCGTCAGCTGGACGAGGTGGCCTCGCAGACCGACAACTTCTGGGGCAAGGCCGAGCGCTTTGAGCACTGGTTCGTCGAGATCTTCGAAGTGGTGGAGTCGCAGGAGATCATCAAGCTGAACGCCGAGTCGTACACGAGCAAGATGGACGAGCTGGCGCGCCGGCGTGACGCGGGCCGGCCCGACTACGAGGCGGCCGTGCGCACCGGCACCGCCCTCGTGGGGCGCCGTGACGTCACTGACACGGCTGTCACCAAGGACAAGGTCAAGGTTAGTGGGAGAGCTACCAGGTGGTATGCGGTGAGGGGGCCGGGTGGTGAGTGTTTGGCGGATAGGTGTCGTAGTTGAACGGTTGTGTTCAACGTGCCTAATGTCTGGTTTGCTCAGATTGACTGCTGGTTGATGTTGTAATAAGAACAGCAATGTGATGTGGTTGTCAGTCAGGTTTGTGCGGTCATCACGTAAGCCTTGGTCGGACAAAGTTTGAGCCAATCGGCGCTGAGCTGTGGCGTCTTACGGAGCAAAATGTGCCGCAGGTGCTGCAGCAGCTCTAACGCTGCAAAAGCAACTTGTCGCTACTGGTCTTGCTCTGGTCTGCTCAGTGTTTGGTAGGCCGTCGTCGGTAACGCCACGCCTCCCTGTTTGAAGGAAATGGAGGCGCAGTGGCGCGAGCTGCAGGACCTGCTGGACGAGCGGCTTCAGGAGGGTCGCACTCGCTCCGACTCCCTCAACGCCTACGAAAAGCTCAAGGAGGACGTGCTGACTTGGATGAAAAAGATGGAGACCCGCATCGACTCCCTGCAGCCGGTGGCCGTGGACCAGAAGCTGCTGAAGCAGCAGAGCGACGAGCTCAAGGTACCGCACTGCGTAGCTGTCCGTGGCCTCTGTAGCCGTCGGTGTCACTGTCACGTGAGCTCGTTTGCTGTATCAGCCCTGACGTGAATCAACACTGAGATATGCGTGCTTCCACTGGAACTAGCGTGTGATCAGTGTGTAAATTTTTGTCATGTCATATGAGCTGGACGCGGTCATTAGAGCTTTACTGAAGAAGCATAGAGGTGGCTTTTATGGAATCCACCCGTCGCAAAATGTTGTGCTGAGTGTCCTGCAGAGTGCAGGAAATTTGCGAGCAGTACCGCGCGAGCATGAATTTTTTCGACGCTGTTTCATCCTAGTTCGCCTTGGCCTGGTCGTCTGTGCCCCTTGACTGTAGCCAACCTCCTCCGCCGCGTCCGCAGCCACTAGTGAAGGAACACGGCCAGTACGTGACCACGATCGACAAGGTGAATGACCTGGGCAACCAGTACGACGCCTTGCTGCGGGCCGATCGGGCCGAGACGCCGTCCCGACGTCGCTCCTCCGTCACGCCCGCCAAGAAGACGTCCGTCGTCTCCCACGGACGCCGCTCCGTCACGCCTCTGTCATCAGGTGCGTAGCAGTCACGCCACTGACACTAGGTGCGGATCAGTGACGCCACTGACACCAGGTGCGGATCAGTCACGCCTCTGACGCCAGGTGCGGATCAGTCACGCCTCTGACGCCAGGTGCGGATCAGTCGCGCTACTGACGCCAGGTGCGGATCAGTCACGCCTCTGACGCCAGGTGCGGATTAGTCACGCCACTGACACCAGGTGCGGATCAGTGACGCCACTGACACCAGGTGCGGATCAATCACGCCACTGACACTAGGTGCGTATCAGTCACGCCACTGACACAAAATGTGCATCAGCCGCGCCACTGACTTCAATTGTGCATCAGTCACGCCACTGGCACCGAATGTGGATCAGTCACGCCACTGACACCAGGTACGTATCAGTCACACGCCTGACGCCAGGTGCGGATCAGTCGCGCTATTGATGAGCCACACCACCAGTCACTACCAGTATTACCTAAGCAGGAGCCTCGTCACGTGTTTGACACCAGGTACAGGTGACCCGCGGAGGTGGGGACACCGCTCACGTTGACATCAGGCGTGTCAAGCGAGTGGTGACAGGTAAAACAACTGCACTGGTGGTGTGGTGAAGCCAGCGTCTGTTGTTTTCCATTTGCTTCCTTCTCTTGCCTGCATGCTGCACAGATGGGGTGGAACGGAGCTGTAATCGCGTCGATTTGTTTTGTTTTCGGCACGTCCCACCGCTCCCCGTCGTTTAGCACAGCACTCCGGTCCATTTGGTTGGCTTTGTATTTTCGCTGCATACCTTTCCGTCGTCTTCGATGCTTCTGAGTTGTTCTTCGTTCTGTACGCGTTCTGTCATTGCACCGCCTACTTCTGTTCCTTCACGGCACACTCGCTTGGCGTGTTTTTTTTTGGCGTGTGCCGCTGACCTTCCCGGATGCCCCGGTGCCCGGCTTCTCGGCGGCTGAGCGGCATGCGCGTGTGTTCGCAGTGCGTAAGCCCTCTTTCGAGCGCTCGTCGCCGGCTCCCGGCCGGCCCAGCCGCCGTGAGTCGCATGCTGACGGATATGTCGGTCTGGACGGTAAGCAGCGGCGCACAGTGCATTGACTGGCGTGTGCACAGCCCCGCTCGGTGCGGTGTAGACCGGAGCGCGGAGGGGCACGAGAAGAGAGATGGGATGCGTTTCTGACGAACGGGTGGTGGTCAGAGGTCGAAGACGGTTAGCTTTGGTGGGCCCGAGCGTCCTGTGACGGCACCAGCAGGTGCCAACTGCGGGTGTGTTGAGAAGTGATGCCATTCATCCAGGGCGTTGGTATTCTGAGAAACATTTGCGCTTGGATCTGTTTACTGCATGTGCAATTTCAACGCTGTCCAACGAGATGTCAGCGCCTCTCCAAGCAGCGTGAGCACTTAAAACGGCTGAGTGTTAGCCTACCTATTGTCACTTCCATGCAGCCCAGTATTCATACGCTGGCACCACTATCATCCGGTAGACCGTGTCGGGCCGAAGCCTAACACCCCCCTCCCCTCCCTCCACCCCCAACAGACCAATCGCCGATCCAGGCGCAGCTGAACGAGATCAACCATCGCTACCAGATGGCAGGTACGCGGCTCACCGACCGGCAGGCGGACATCGACACCGTCAGCGACGAAGTGCGCCGCCACATGGACACGCTGAAGCAGCTGCAGCAGTTCCTGGACAAGACGGAGCGCCAGCTGCCGCGCGACGCCGTGCCGCAGAGCCGCGACGAGGCCGACAAGCAGCTGCGCGCCGTGCGAGCGCTCGTGGAGGAGGTGTACGAGCGGCAGCCGGCGCTGGACGGCCTGAAGACACAAGCGGGCGAGCTGCTGCGCCGGCGGCCCGGCGTGCCCGGCGCCGACCTGCTGCAGGGCGCGCTCACTGACGTGGTGGAGCGCTGGCGCGCGCTGCAGGAGCGGCTCAAGGCGCGCCAGCGCAATCTGCAGGACAGCCGCCAGTTCTTCGACACGCACGACCAGCTGAACGGCTGGCTGCAGGCCAAGGAGAAGATGCTGACGGTGCTGGGGCCGCTGAGCTCGGACCCGCGGCTCGTGCAGATGCAGAGCCAGCAGGTGGCCGTGCTGAGGGACGAATTCGCCGGCCAGTACCCCACCCTGCAGACGCTGAACCGCGTCGGTCAGGCGCTCGTGGAGGAGGCAGAGCCGGACAGTGCCACCGCGCAGAAGGTGAGCTTGACGACCGGCACCGCAGCGGCCTCGTCACAAGAGGCTGCGTTCTGTGTGTCGGCGGAAATATCATGTCAGAGTGCCTGCCGCGGGGATTGCTTTTGTTACCATTGATGTGTTGTCAAAAATATGACAATGGCTATCGAAATATTTGATGAAAGCTCGATGGCAGATTCAAAATGGATGAACAAAGCGTCGTTTCGTAAAGTAGTGCCGTTATCACTGTGTCGTGCTTAGTCAGTGACCTTGTTTTACATGTTTTAAGGCACGCAACTTACCGTGTGCTAACGTGCTCAGCGATTGATGTGTCGCGCCTGTTTGTTCCCAGGTGGGAGACAAGCTACGCAAGACCAACGACAAGTGGGAGGAGCTGATCGCCAAGCTGGAGGATCGGGAGCAGAACCTGGACGCCGCCTCGGGCGCCAGCCAGCAGTTCAACGAGTCGCTGGGTCGCCTGCAGCGCGACCTGCAGAAGATCGGCGACAACTTCGACGACCTGTCGACGGAGCGCACTGAGCCGCAGCAGAAGCTGAAGAAGCTGAACCAGCTCCAGCACCAGGTGGACGAGCTGCGACCGCAGCTAGCTGAGCTGGAAGCGCTCGGTGAGGAGCTGTGCAACGTGCTGACCGACCCGTCGGCCAAGACCGAGGTCAAGGACAAGCTGTACCAGCTGGGCCGCCAGCAGAACCAGCTGCAGAAGAAGATGGACAACCTGCGCGCCGAGCTGGAGAACTCGCTGAAAGAGGACCGCGAGTTCGAGGACGGCTGCGCGGACGTACAGGAGTGGATCAAGGACTGCGTCGACCAGATGGGCCGCCCGCTGAAGGTGTCAGCCGACGCCGACAGGCTGGCGCGCCAGGTGGCAGAGTACGAGCCCGTCTACAAGAGTGTGACGGCGCGCGAGCACGAGGTGTTCCTCGTCCAGCGCAAGGGCCAGGACCTGCTCGCCAAGACGACCAACAAGCAGGAGGCCAAGACGCTGCAGAAGTTCCTGGATAAGCTGCAGAAGGACTGGGACGGCATGAAGCGGGAGGCAGTGAGTCGCCACACCCGTCTGCAGACGTGCTCCGACCTCTGCCGCAAGTACCACGCGGCGCTGGAGAGGTTCGCGCCCTGGCTGGACAAGGCCGAGGACCGGCTGGACCGCATGCAGCCCATCAGCTTCCGCAAGGCCGACATCCAGAAGCAGCTGCGCGAGGTGCAGGCGTTCAAGAACGACGTGTCGCTGCACTCGGGCGAGCACGAGCAGACGCAGTCGGGCGGCGACGCGCTGCTCGCCGCCACCGACACGGACAAGGAAGGTGTGCAGGCCGACCTGCAGCTGCTACGGCAGCGCTGGGACGCGCTCAGCGCCGCCGCCGTCGGCCGCCTGCAGGCGCTGGAGGACGTGGCCGCCAAGGTGGGCGACTTCCAGGACAAGCTGCGCGACCTGGAGCACGGCCTGCAGCGCTGCGAGGACCGGCTCGGGGCGCACGACGCGCTCGGCGGCGGCCGCGACCCGCGCATGCTGGGCCGCGTCAAGGACCTGCTGCAGGAGGCCGACCAGCTGGGCCAGCAGCTGGAGAAGGTGCGCGGCGCTGGCGACGAGCTGCGTCAGGACGCACACCAGCTGGGCTCCAGCGCAGACCACGTCAAGGACGACGTCGATCGCGTCGACCGACGGCTGCGCGATCTACGTGACCAGCTGGACGACCGGCACAGCGACCTGCAGAACGCTTCGCATGCCGTCAATGAGGTCAATGAACGGCTTCAAGGGGCTCTACCACCAGCTGGGTGTGCTGGAGGAGGAGCTGGACAACATGGCGCCGGTGGCGCGCGAGGTCATCATCGTGCAGAAGCAGGTGACGGAGATCACCGTCTTCATGGAGAAGGTGGTGCACGAGCGACACGAGCTGGACGCCGCCGAGAAGACAGTCCAGGGCCTCGTTCAGGAGGTAAGGGCTGCTTATACGTTTCGCTGGCGTGGATAGCTGGCTCCTTGCTATTGATAACCACCACCTAAATTTCTGCCCATATGGCCATCAGCATTTAGTGATGCATCAAAATAGGTAGCCGTCAGGTGCTTAACCCTGCATTAAAAAGGTTATTCTGTGGCACCTGATCCTGGCACCTGCCCGGTTACCTGCAATCTTGACTGTCATGCAGTCTGTGTTGCCCATCAGCTGGCCACTGTGCCACCCATCAGCTGACCACTGTGCCGCTCATCAGGTAACCGCCCCATCAGCTGAACCACTGTGCCCATCAGCGACCCCATCAGCTGACTACCGTGCCGTACACGCTGACACTTCTGCCCATCAGCTGACCACTGCTCTCCCCGTCGACAGGGCTTCGCCGCCGACGCCAAGACGATGCGTGACCAGCTGGCAGCATGCGGCGCCAGCTGAGCCGCATGGACGACCGCGGCCGCGCCCGCGAGCGGGACGTCACCGTCGTGCTCACCAAGCTGACCACCTTCTACAGCACGTACGAGGTGGTGGTGGAGGACATCCGACATGCGTCGCGCGAGGAGGCCTCGCTGCCGAAGCCGGCCACCGATGTGGAAACAATCCGCCGCCAGCAGCAGGAGTTCCGCCAGTTCAAGACGACGCGCGTCGAGACGCTCTCGGCGCACGTGGACGACTGCAACAAGAGCGGTCAGGGCCTCGTGCAGTCGGCCGCCGCCGGCGTCAACACCACCGGCATCGAGGGCGACCTCGAGAAGATGAACGACTTGTGGAATGAGCTGAAGGAGCGGGTATGTCGGAGGTGGTCAAATGAAGCGAGGGAATTGGGTGGCGAGGGACGGGCATACGGACGACATTGGACGTGGTGGGTTTAGTTTTTGGGCTAACGGAAACACACTGTCTCGGAAATTTGGGCATAAATAGTGAACACTTCTTAGCCAGTTCGCAGAAGGCCTTTTTGGCGCGGTAGAAATACAAGCTAATGTCCAGATTGTTCATGCAGCGCTTAAGCAAATGCTTCAAGTGGACACATTGAAATCCCAGCATCGGGGTCTATGGTCACGTTTGTTGAGCCCAGAGTCACGCTCATTTTCTGTCTTTTCCACCACAACTCGGTGCCCCGACTGCAAGTGGCAGAGAGTAACACCCGGGCGCTCATCCCTGCACCGTTAAATCGAATCGAAAAATGTGGATTCGCTTACGGCGTCTTGAGGCTGTTTCCGGCCTCACTTCCGACGGAGTATGTAGGCGCCAACGATATCAGCAGTGGCATGTGAAACCAAGAGAATGAGTCTCGACTGTACCCACGCACACTCCTACAGTCACAGCCTGAGACAGGCCGTGACGATGTGTTCCGTGACGTCACACTTCCTGCATCCCCGCCGGCTGAGACCCCGCCGCTGTCTCCAGATGCACAACCGGGAGCGAGCCCTGGACGTCGGCCTGCTGCAGTCGGGCAAGTTCCGCGAGGCGCTCGAGGGCCTGCTGCAGTGGCTGGCCGATACCGAGGACCTGGTGGCGCACCAGAAGCCGCCGTCGGCCGACTATAAGGTGGTGAAGGCGCAGGTGCAGGAGCAGCGCTTCCTGCAGAAGCTCCTGCTCGACCGCCAGGGCTCTGTGTCGTCCCTGTTCGACATGGGCAAGGAGATCGCCAAGAACTGCCAGCCGGCGGAGCGAGCTGAGATCGAGGGGCAGCTGCGCCAGCTGACCGAGCGGTTCGACGCGCTCACCGGCCAGGCGGCCGAGCGTATGCAACAGCTCGAGGACGCCATGAAGGTACGCGGCGGCCGGGCCAGCTGATGCGCCGCGCCGGAGAGCGGGCGGGGGGCCGCTGCTGGGGCGTCCTGGTGAGAGTGAAAGGTCGTGGCTATGGCTGAGTTGAACGTGTTTGTCACGGTTTTGCGAGCGCTGCATTTTGCTTTATATTAAGTACTGAAAACAACTAGGATCCTCGGTAAATGATCCATAGGTGTCTTGTAAGTTGTGCGTGCGGTTATTATTTCATAGCACTGTATACAGGTGATTTACTGAAGTACTTGTATGATCTTCCAAACAAGGGTAATAGCATGTTCCAGTACTCATAAGAGAGGTCATTTCATTGCAGGTCGCGAAGGAGTACCAGGATAAGAACGGCCCACTTGTCGAGTGGCTGGAAAAGATGGAAAAGAAGTTGAAGGACATGGAAACGATTCCCACCGATGAAGACAAGATCCAGAGAAGGATCAAGGATCACGACGTAAGCCCCAGATCGTTTTGCACAAGCTCCCTCCATTACTGCATTACTCATCATTGGTGCTTATGACGCCGGGCTTCAGTGGCGCCGTGGGAACGCAAGGGACGTGTCAACGCTAGACCTGCTTAAATCTCGCCCATTGATGATTTCTGACGGTCAGCCTCATTGCTTGCAATGGCAAGGGAGGCGATGATCGTAGAAGTGACTTGTGTCTCAACGAGCGACCTAACTGGTTAGGATTGATTGATTAGCAGGTGCGTAACCCGAGGCATCACACTCCCTTCCGCGAGCCTGCGAGCTCACTCGTGATCAGCTCTACCGCCTGCTCATCATCCACCCCCGGCGGTCCGCAGACGCTGCACCGCGAGATCGTGCAGCGCGGCGGCGACTTCGACGAGCTGGCCAACATCGCCACCGTCCTGATGGAGCTGGTGGGCGACGACGAGGCGCAGGCACTGGCCGACCGGCTGCAGGAGGTCACCGACGCCTACACCAAGCTGGTGGACGACAGCGAGGCGCTCGGCCGCCGCCTGCAGGACGCCGGCAAGCAGCTGCGCGCGCTCGTGCTCAACTACGAGGACTTCCTCGTCTGGATGGACGAGATGGAGCAGCGGCTGAACAAGTACAAGGTGCTCTCGGTGCACGTCGACAAGCTGCACGAACAAATGGAAGAGTTGACGGTGAGTTAGCCGAGTGCAGAGAGTGATGGCGTGAGAGGATCGCGGCAGATGATGGACATTAATGGCAGGGGCTCTAGGTCACATTGTGACAGGTTTTGGGTAATAGATATTGTCAAGATACGCTGGAAGATGAACGATACTTTCGTGTGTGGATAGCCAGGCGTAACCGACAAGCCTGGTGTATAATGGTCACCATCGATATCGGTATATATTGTATCGATGACCAGGCGTAACGAGCACACCAGCGTTCCCAGGTGCTAGAGGTAGTGGCCCACTAGCCGCGGAAACTATGTACATGGAGTATATTTACGATAGGTCGCCACATTCCATTATGCGCGTGTTCGCTGCGCTGCTAAGCCCATCAGCTGCCGAATGTCGCGAACCCTAGTGTTCCGGCTCTGTGCCGGCTCTGTGCCGGCTCTGTCCCGACTCTGTGCGGGCTTTGTTCCGGCTCTGTGCCGGCTCTGTTCCGGCTCTGTGCCGGCTCTGTGCGGTCTCTGTGCCGGCTCTGTGCGGGCTCTGTGCCGGCTTTGTACCGGCTCTGTGCCGGCTCTGCGCCGGCTCTGTGCCGGCTCTGTCCCGGCTCTGTGCGGGCTCTGTGCCGGCTCTGTGCTGGCTCTGTGCCGGCTCTGTACCGGCTCTGTCCCGGCTCTGTGCGGGCTTTGTGCTGGCTCTGTGCCGGCTCTGTCCCGGTTCTGTGCGGGCTCTGTGCCGGCTCTGTACCGGCTCTGTGCCGGCTCTGTACCGGCTCTGTCCCGGCTCTGTGCGGACTTTGTGCTGGCTCTGGGCCGGCTCTGTCCCGGTTCTGTGCGGGCTCTGTGCCGGCTCTGTGCCGGCTCTGTACCGGCTCTGTGCCGGCTCTGCGCCGGCTCTGTGCCGACCCTCGCTGACGGGTGGCGCGCCGGCCGCAGGATCTCAGCGAGGAGGTGGACCACCACCGGGAGCCGGAGCAGGAGCTGCAGGACATCGGCGCCGACCTGATGCGGCACATCTCCAGCGATGAGGCGCTCCAGCTCAAGGACAAGCTGGACTCCATCAGTCACCGCTATTCGGACCTTGAGACCAAGGTGAGCCGCTGTGGACGCTGCTAGCCAGCGAGGACCGGTGTGGCTGCCGAAGGGAGGGGACGGAGACGGAGGAGCGGAACGGAGCTCGACCGTCGCCGACTGGCGTCGGGGTCTGCCTGGTCACAGTGGGTGTGTAAGATTTGGCTGAAACGGCAGCGTCTGGACTGAGACCAGCCCGTGTTTGTTCTGCGCATGTTCAACCAGAAGATGTTACATAACAATGGTGCTTGCAGTGTGTCGGCAAGCTTGAGTTGTCAAAAGCAAGTAGCGCGCCTTAGTGTCTCTTTACGCTTATGCATAGAAGACATTCATTAGGCTCGTTCAACCATGGTGGGAGACCGCCGCTACTTTGCACTTCGGTTATGCCCCGGGGCCGTGTGTGATTTACTGGGACACGAGCGGCCGACTTGAGCCGGCGTGCTGAGCCAACCCCTCTCTCTCCTTCCAGGCGGGTTCGCTGCTGAAGAACGCGCAGGAGGTGCTGCCGCTGGTGCACGCCTTCCACAAGGCTCACAACCATCTGACCGAGTGGCTGGTGGCCACGGAGCAGACCTTGCTGGCTGTGGACTCACTGCCCAACCCTGACGAGACGATGGAGCACCTGGAGCAGCAGGTCAGCGCACCAGACCCTGATGCTGACACTGCTGCTGACGGTGCTGCTGACGCTGATGCTGGTGCTGATGCTGGTGCTGATGCTCAATGGAACCCCGGCATGCGCGGTCTCGGTGACGATCGTTTTACATCGCACATCGTATGAAATGAGTGTTGCCCTGCTCTAGCAAGAACACCAACTAGAGATTAGGAGATTAAGTGCGTCAGGAAACCGAGCCTGCGCCCTCTACTAGCTACCTCCACGAACGTTACCGGTGTTATCACCAGCCGCCAGCGCCCGTCGTCTGACCCGACCTCGTCTGACCTCAGGTGCAGGAATACAAGCCGGCTCTGGACCAGGTGAACCAGGCCGGGCCGCAGCTGTGCCAGATCTCGCCCGGCGACGGCGCCCAGACCATCGAGGCGCTGGTGACGCGCGACAAACCGCCGCTTCGAAGCCATCGTCGAGCAGGTGCAGCGTAAGGCAGAGCGCCTGCGTATGACCAAGCAGAAGAACCTGGAGATCGTCGGCGACATTGACGAGCTGCTCGACTGGTTTAGAGAGGTGAGCTGGGTCTCGCAGGCGACGGCCGCAGTGGGCAGTCTTGGTGTCGTCTGGCGGCGAGCACATGGGTCACATGGACAGCAGAAGTATGGTTCGATTCGTGCGGCATACATTAAGCTGTCGTAGCAACAATGACCGACGGCTGTTATCATATCTGGAAAGGTACGTGACGCGCGTCACCCTACACCTTGAATGAAACGCTGTTGTCGCGCTGGCCAGTACTGGCCGACTCTTAAGATAAAATCCGATCCGATGCTGTGCGTGCACCACTGAATCCCTCCCGCGTGACGTGGCACCTCACCTGACGCGCTGGCGCCGTCCACTCAGGTCGAGACCCAGATCAAGGAGGCGGAGCCGCCCAGCTCGGACCCGGATGTCATCCGGATCCAGCTGAAGGAGCACAAGGCGCTGTACGATGACGTCAGCAGCCAGAAGGGACGCGTGCGGGACGTGCTGAGCACGGCCAAGAAGATCATGCGCGACGCCGCGCAGTACGATGACGTCACCGAGATACGCGAGAAGGTCGATGACCTCAAGGACACGGTCGAATCGGTGAGCTGAGCTGGACAGGCTGTTGTGCCGGGTGTTGTACGCCAAATGACCACCACAGTCGGCGCGCCCCTAAACTCCGATGTGTTGTGCGTGGGGTGTGGTTTGTTGACAGGCGACTTACAGCTTCGCGGAAATATTCCATGTGAGAAGAGACAAAGTAAGCTACGATATCGGCAAACTATAGCCAAATATGGAGCAGCGTCACGCTACCTGACTCTTGCCGAGGTATCGCTACGCAGCGAACAGCAGATCATCGAGGGCCCTACCCTCCCCCCCCCCCCCTCCTCCCGGCTCGCTGCCAGCCGTGTCTGACCCGTCCGTCCTGCCCCCCCCCCCCCCTTCGGCTCGTTGCCAGCCGTGGCTGACCCGTCCGCCCTGGGCTTCCTCTCCCCCTCCCCCCCCCCCCCGGCTCACCGCCAGCCGTGTCTGACCGGTCCGCCCGCCCGTCGCCAGGTCAGCAAGCTGTCGTCGGACCGGCTGAGCGCGCTGGAGCAGGCGCTGCCGCTGGCCGAACACTTCTACGAGACGCACCTGGGTATCTCGGACTGGCTGGACGAGGCGGAGGGCGAGGCGATGCGACTGGACATTGCCGGCGCATGCGGGCCGGACCAGATCCAGCGCCAGCAGGGACAAGAACAAGGCGCTGGCCTGCAGAGCATTCACGAGCACACAAGCCTCTCATCGACAAGCTTGAACAAAACGGGCAGTGCGCTTGCCCGCTCTGCAACGACGAGGGAGGCGCAGAAGGGTGGGCGGAGGGGAAGAGAGAGAGAGAGAGAGAGAAGAGAGAGAGAGAGAGAGAGAGAGAGAGAGAGAGAGAGAGAGAGAGAGAGAAGAAGAGGAGAGGAGAAGGGAGAGAGATAGATGAAGAGAGATAGAGAGAGAGAGAGAGAGAGAGAGAGAGAGAGAAGAGAGAAGGAGAGAGAGAGAGAGAGAGAGAGAGAGATGAGAAGAGAAAGAAGAGAGAGAGAGAGAGAGGAGAGAGAGAAGAGAGAGAGAGAGATAGAGATAGAGAGAGAGAGAGAGAGAGAGAGAGAGAAAGAGAGGAGAGAGGAGAGAGAGAGAGAGAGAGAGAGAGCCGAAACGGCGCGCCCGTCGGTAGCTGCGGGGGTGGGGTGCGGTGGTACCGAGCTCGATGCCAAAACACGCCGTGTGTGTGCGGTTTGTACACAACGTCTGAGGCTAGCTGCGGCGGGATGTGTCCCACGGTATTCTGCGATATGGTATGCATTCTAAAGCGTGATGTTTTTCCGGGCTCGCTTTGGACACAGGTCTTTGGCACCGCTAGCATTTACCTCACCCAGCGTTCGTGGTGATTCCCGCGAAAAAGCTTGCTGTATGGATCGCAACTGCCGAGACAGCCCGCCCGGCCGACCTGCCGCCGTGTGCCTGCCTTTCCGGCTCGGCGGCAGCTGACACCACCGCGTTGCCTACAGGTCAACGAGATCATGGACACGGACAACGCACGCTACAACGCGCTGCGCACCACGCTGCGCGAGCGGCAGCAGGCGCTGGAAGAGGCGCTGCAGGAGTGCTCCCAGTTCGCCGACAAGCTGGACGGCATGCTGTCGGCGCTCAAGGACACGGCCGACCAGGTGGACAACGCCGAACCCATCTCGGTCCACCCAGATCGCATCCACGACCAGATGGCCGAGAACAACGCCATCATCGACGACCTGGAGAAGCGCGAGGTGGCCTTCGAGGCCGTCAAGCGCGCCGCTGATGACGTTATCAGCAAGGCTGGCGACGGCGATCCGGCCGTGAAGGGTACGTGGGCCTCCTGAGAAGGTGGCACTGGGCGGCTGAGCAGGCTGAGCACGCTTGTGTGCGGTACAGCACTGCTCTCGTAATCGGCGTATGGCTATGTGAAATGCTGCGTTGGATAGGTTTGGTTCCTTTGTTAAAGAATGCATACTTTGCGGCTAGTGGGCGGGTAGTACGCGAAACACTGCATGCGGGGTGACAATGCTGCAGAACCGCGCCCTGGCACTGTGCTCGCCATGGTCTACCACTGGGCCACTTTGCGTGTCGCGGGGGCGTTGTTGCGTGATGGCCGTTCTCTGTGATGCGTCTTGGGCCGAGACGCCGCAGCGGATCAGCCCTGAGACGCTGGGGAGTCCAGACCACCACCAACATGTACCTCCGTTTCAGACATCAAGAAGAAGCTGGACAACCTCACGAAGCTGTGGGACCACCTGCAGAAGGCGACGGACGACCGCGGCCGCTCGCTGGAGGACGCGCTCGCCATTTCGGAGCGTTTCTGGTCGGAGTTGCAGGGCGTCATGAAGGCGCTGAAGGAGCTGCAGGAGGCACTCGGCAACCAGGAGCCGCCGGCCATCGAGCCCAGCGCCATCAAGGAGCAGCAGAAGGTGCGGCAGAGGCCCTCGCCAGTCGGACTGTCGTAGGCCTGTGCGACAAACATCCATGATCTGGTTCTGTTTGTAGCAGCAGTAAAATGTGTGATTTTGACGCGCGGTGCTTGATTACACACGCGGTAATTTTACTATGGGCCCTGCATGACCTACAGCATTCGATGGGCCCCAAAACCTCAAATCATCACCAACATCATACGGCTGCCTACCGTCAGCTGTATGAGATAGTGCGGGCTGATTTGCGTGGATGACCGGGTACATCGTGCCCCAGGAGCTGCAGGAGATCCGCCAGGGCATCGAGCAGACCAAGCCCGAGGTGGACAAGGTGCGTCGCACCGGCCAGGACCTGATGAAGGTCTGCGGCCACCCGGAGAAGCCCGAGGTCAAGAAGAACTTGGCCGACCTCGACTCGGCCTGGGACAACATCACGGCGCTGTACGCGCGCCGCGAGGAGAATCTCATCGACGCCATGGAGAAGGCGATGGAGTTCCACGACACGCTGCAGGTAACGCCGACTGGGCCGCCCGAGAGGTGCGACCGCCAGGGACAGACCAGGGCAGAGCTGGACACGGTGCATGTAACGCCGACTAGACCGCCCGAGAGGTACGACGGCCAGGGATAGAGACCAGGGCAGAGCTGGACACGGTGCAGATAACGCCGACTAGACCGCGCGAGAGGTACGACGGCCGGGGATAAAGACCAGGGCAGAGCTGGACACGCTGCAGGTAACGCTGAATGGGCCGCCCGAGAGGTGCGACGGCCAGGGATAGAGACCAGGGCAGAGCTGGACACGGTGCAGATAACGCCGACTAGACCGCCCGAGAGGTACGACGGCCAGGGATAGAGACCAGGGCAGAGCTGGACACGGTGCAGATAACGCCGACTAGACCTCCCGAGAGGTACGACGGCCAGGGATAGAGACCAGGGCAGAGCTGGACACGGTGCAGATAACGCCGACTAGACCGCCCGAGAGGTACGACGGCCAGGGATAGAGACCAGGGCAGAGCTGGACACGGTGCAGGTAACGCCGACTAGACCGCCCGAGAGGTACGACGGCCAGGGACAGACCAGGGCAGAGCTGGTCACGGTGCAGGTAACGCCGACTAGACCGCCCGAGAGGTACGACGGCCAGGGACAGACCAAGGCAGAGCTGGACACGGTGCAGATAACGCCGACTAGACCGCCCGAGAGGTACGACGGCCGGGGACAGACCAGGGCTGAGCTGGACACGGTGCAGGTAACGCCGACTAGACCGCCCGAGAGGTACGACGGCCAGGGATAGAGACCAGGGCAGAGCTGGACACGGTGCAGATAACGCCGACTAGACCGCCCGAGAGGTACGACGGCCAGGGATAGAGACCAGGGCAGAGCTGGACACGGTGCAGATAACGCCGACTAGACCGCCCGAGAGGTACGACGGCCAGGGACAGACCAAGGCAGAGCTTGGGGGTCCTGAACAAGGCCGGGATCGGCTCGGTTGGCGGGGGATGTGGTTCGGGTAAATGCTATAAACGTTAGAATGCGGAGGGAGAGCGTCGCCCCGGTTTGTTAACACTTTGTTTAGATATCGGCTAGGGTTGCTGGACGGTGTTGCGCTGTTCTGTGCACTTTTTCTCCCGGCGCGCGCGCTTGCATTGTGCCTGCATGTCGTTCGCAGTACCTGGTGGAGTTCTTGGAGGACGCCGAGGACCGGCTAGGAAACCTCGGTGCCGTCGGATCAGACATCGAGGCCGTCAAGAAGCAGATCAAGCAACTGATGGACTTCAAGGGCAAGGTTGACCCTCAGATGGTCAAGGTGGAAGCTCTGAACAGGTGAGCGGCGTGCACAGTATGCTGCCCTTACAGTGTAAGCTGGTTAAGCGGTCCCTGTATTACTCTACAATCGACGTGAATAATTGCTATAAGGTGATGCATGGCGAGTTTAGACTGTAACGTTGGGAAATATCTGCTTTGGGGGGGGGGGATGTGGATAAATACTTGTAGTTTTTTCGTCAACTGTTCCGTACAATTTTGAGAAAAAAAAGTTCGGAGTGTTACGGGTCATGGCGATTCAGTCTCTTCGACTGCCTGTCCTATACACATAAGCGTTCGTCTCTTTCCACATGGGCGATGAGCAGAAGCATCAGAAGGCAAGTGTGTGCGTGTGGGACGCGATGCGATAACCACAGGCCTTATCATTGGCTCAGTGCTAGCGCGCCGAGTGAACCTGGCATGCACCGTTGCAGCGCGGGGTTGTCGTCATAGCCCAACCGTCCGCAAACGGTGACGGCTGGGTTCTAGCATGCTCCATCATAAATGGATGGGTCCTAGCCGGGTTTTTTCTGTACGGTGAGGCCGCATGGACTTCGCCACAGGCTGCGATTTCCGTTTGGTTTTGAAGTCGCATTAACTTTTTGTGCTAGCTTGCCGCGATCTCTTTGAAGGCACGGCATCGTGGTTTTTGTGTGCGTAGCGGAAAGAGCTGAAGTGGACGTTCTGTAGCATACAGGTAGGGTACTAGCCCGCCCAGTCTGCACGGTGTGCGTGTTAACAGCAGACCAGTCACCCTAATGATATTTTCGTGCTGCGGTACGTTCAGTTTTACCATCACGGTATGTTCGGGATGACACCGAATTATGCAGTTGAATCGCATGGCAGAGAATTGCATGCCCGGATTTGTTTTCCGCGTGTTCGGTGCTGTAAACCTTCTGCGATCATGGAAAAGATTGTTCTAAAGTCAGTAAGTGTCGTGGTGCAACGGGAACTAAACTGAAAGGCCTTTGTCTCTATGAGAGTCGCCAGACCTGAGCAGACCAGATCGGGCGGCGCCCGCCTGACGGCGCCGCCGTCGCCTGGCGGGGTGCGCCTGACACTGACCGCTCCTCCGCCTGCCGCCTGCAGACAGGCGCAGGAGCTGATGGAGCGCACGTCGCCGGATCAGGCGGCCGCGCTCAAGCAGCCGCTCTCCGACATCAACACGCGCTGGGACGATCTGCTCAAGGGCATCGTGGAGCGGCAACGCGAGCTGGACCACGCCCTGCTGCGGCTCGGCCAGTTCCAGCACGCGCTGGACGAGCTGCTCGTTTGGATCGGGCGCACCGACAAGACGCTGGACGGTCTGCGGCCGGTGCTCGGCGACCCGCAGGTACGCCATGGGGTCAGAGGGGGGGCGGGCGCCCTCAGGCACGAGAGCCCGACCTTTGACAGAGGTGTAGGGCTGTCGGTGACCGATGGTGAGTACATCGCTGCGGAGCTGAGGGAAGGATTACAGGTGCTCGGAGAAGAGTTGCTGCAAATTGCATCTGTCGCGTGGTTCGTGTCGCGTGGTAAGATTGCCTGGGGCAGCATTTACTCAAAATTCTGAGGGTCGTGACCAGGCATCGCGTGGCAACTCGGTCTGCCTTCTGACATCCAGTACAGGGCAAGTTCCTGAGCTCTGCGCGGGCTCCACTGACTGTGCTGCGCCCCGCAGGTGATCGAGGTGGAGCTGGCCAAGCTGAAGGTGACGGTGAACGACATCCAGGCGCACCAGACGTCCGTGGACACGCTGAACGATGCCGGACGCCAGCTGATCGAAGACGACCGCGACTCGGCTGACGCCAGCGCCACACACCGCAAGCTGAACCAGCTCAACGACCGCTGGGCCGAGCTGCAGGAGAAGACGGCCGGCAAGCAGCGCGAGCTGGAGAACGCGCTGCGTGACGCCCAGGACTTCATGAACGAGATCCAGGATCTGCTGTTCTGGCTAAACGACCTGGACGGCGCGCTCACCACCAGCAAGCCCGTGGGAGGCTTGCCCGAGACGGCCAAGGAGCAGCTGGACCGCTTCATGGAGCTGTTTGGCGAACTGGAGCAGAATCGCTCCAAGGTGGACGCTGTGCTCACGCGTGGCGACACCTACATGAAGAAGTCGAAGGAGGGCGCAAGCACCAACCTCAAGCACAACCTGAAGACACTGAAACAGCGCTGGGAGCACGTCACCAACCGCGCCAACGACAAGAAGATCAAGCTGGAGATCGCGCTGAAGGAAGCGACCGAGTTCCAGGAGGCGTTGCAGGAGTTCGTCGACTGGCTAACGGGGTCCGAGAATGTGCTGTCCAACCTGCAGCCCGTCTCGCGCGTCATGGACAACATCATCAAACAGATCGACGAGCACAAAGAGTTCCAGAAGGAGGTAAGCTCTCATCGTGAGTACATGCTCAACCTGGACAAGAAGGGCACACAGCTCAAGTACTTCTCCCAGAAGCAGGACGTGATCCTGATCAAGAACATGCTAGTGTCGGTGCAGCACCGCTGGGAGCGTGTCGTCTCCAAGGCGGCCGACCGCACGCGCGCACTCGACGTCGGCTACAAGGAGGCCAAGGAGTTCCACGACGCTTGGGCCGACCTCTGCGGCTGGATGGACGAGGCGCTGCAGGCCCTGGAGAGTGCCGACGCCTCGCTCGGCAACAACCCCAACAAGATCCGTGCGCTGCTCGATAAGCACCGCGAGTTCCAGCGGGCGCTCGGTGGCAAGCAGTCCAGCTACGACCACGTTATCAAGCTGGGTCGCGCGCTCATCAAGGACAAGGCGCCCAAGATCGAGGAGCCCATCATCCGCGACATGCTCAACGAGCTCAAGGACAAGTGGAACGCCTGCTGCAACCAGTCGGTGGCGCGCCAGCGCAAGCTGGAGGAGGCGCTGCTCTTCAGCGGCCAGTTCAAGGAAGCACTGGAGGCGCTGTTGGAGTGGTTGCGGAAGCGGGGACGCCGCCCTGGACGACAACGCGCCGGTGCACGGTGACCTTGACACTGTGACTGCGCTCTGTGAGCAGCACAAGACCTTCGAGCAGGAGCTGGAGGGCCGTGGCACCCAGGTGCAGTCCGTCCAGAAGACGGCCGATGAGCTGATGAGCAAGGCTGACAAGAAGGACGCGGCCATCATCAAGACGCAGGTCAGTGGCGTCGCGTTAGTGGCATTGTGCAATGCTGCGGTTGTGCTTGCGGTCCATGCAGTGGGCGGTTCGGCTAGCGTTCGCGGCATTGAACGATACTGAGAGATCTGTGCGAGGTCGTGTTTTACTTGTAGCTGCGCCTGTAGGAAAAGTTAAGTTAGACCACATGAAGGTGATTGGTGATATTTGTGAAATTCCCTCATGTTTTCGCACCTTTGCACCTTGGTTGCATTTTCAATCAAGAGCAGAACAGTCTTCAAGTGTGAGGTTCTGAGCAAGCTGTTTTGATGCTTTTAACTTTTTATCAAATGGCAAATCTCCATGTGGCCCAAAGATAGCATAGCACGCCTCAGTTTTCCCAGCAGACCACAGAGATGGCTGGTTGGGACACAGTGCGCAGGATCTGACGTGCCCTCTCTCCACCGCGCCAGGTGACAGAGCTTACGACGGCCTGGACCAAGGTGGTGAAGTCGACGGAGCTGCGCAGCAGCCGCCTGAAGGTGGCGCTCCAGGACGCCGAGGAGCTGCATAAGGCCGTGCACATGCTGCTGGAGTGGCTGAGCGACGCCGAGATGCGGCTGCGCTTCGTGGGCGCGCTGCCGGTCGGCGAGGAGGAGGCGCAACAGCAGGTGGAGGAGCACGCCGCCTTCCGCAAGGAGCTGGCCGGCAAGGAGGGCGAGAAGAACGACACGCTGCGTCTGGCGGCCGAGATCCTCGAGAAGGCGCACCCGGACGCCGTGCCGGTCATCAAGCACTGGCAGACCATCATCGAGTCGCGCTGGGACGAGGTCAGCAGCTGGGCGCTGCAGCGCCAGAACCGGCTGGACGAGCACCTGGCCGGCCTGAAGGATATGCAGGAGCTGCTGGACGAGCTGCTGCGCTGGCTGCAGCAGCGCGAGCGCCGGCTGGTGGAGCTGGAGCCCATACCTCTGCCCGACGATCTGCCCAGCGTGGAGGGGCTCATCCAGGAGCACCAGGAGTTCATGGAGGACCTGCAGTCGCGCCAGCCGGACGTCGACGGCATCTGCAAGCCCAAGCCGAAGGGCCTGCGCAAGGGATCCCGGGCGAAGAGGTGAGTAGCTTTGCGGTGTGCGTTCTTGAAACGTCGGATCCGTGAATGTTTTTGCATTCATGTATGTACACGTTCGCACACACACACACATGCTTTATTGCTGTAAATCCGCTGGGAACAGGCAGAAAACGTGTTTGCCTTTGGCTCGGAATAGGTGTGGTGGGGTGGGTGAATGAATGCTGATTTTGTTTTGGCTTAGTCGTGCCACGGCAACAGTGATTTCGCAAACAAACACCGCTCATGCTTGCTTCTTCCTATGCCTTGTACCTGCCGAGCGACTGCAAGCTCATGGACTAGCCGAGCCATGAATGGCAGAGACCGACTGCATCGGGACTGCAATGGCAGACTGCATCGGGACTGCAATGGCAGACTGCATCGGGACGCTCCCGCGAGGATGTCTGTCTGCGAAAATGAGTGGGCGTGTTTGTGCGCGCGCGCGCGCGTGTGTGAGTGCGCGAGCTACGCCGTGCGGGGATGTGGCAAGCCCAGACTGGCTCTGTACAGCGCCTGTTCTCTGTCGCCGTTTCAGTCCTTCCCCGGCCCGCTTCGCCGAGAGCCCTCGGAGACAAAGGTGCACAATACGAGCTAACGCAGTGGTGCTGGCTGGCTGACGTAACGATTGGCTAACGAGCTAACATGGTCCCGATAGCTCGACGGTGCGGCAGAGCTGGCCGGCTGACGCAGTAGGGCTAGTGATCTGACGTGCCAGGGACCGGTGGTCGCCGTAGCCGGGGTGCAGAGGAGCACGGTAGAGCTGCGCAGCTAGTACAGCTAACTGGCTAACCCAAATACCGGACTCACCTCATCCACAGCCGGTCTCGTGTGCAACTAGAAAGACCAGCTGGGCTGAGTCGATAACCACCTACTGTTCAAACGGAATGTCAATTTTCAAGACACCGAAGTCATATCCCCGCGTTATGGATGATTTCTTTGGTTTGCCTTGTCCATCTCGTCCTGACCTGAAGTGCCCCCCCCCCCCCCCCTGCGTGTTCTGTCCTGTCGTGTCGACGGTGCGAGCTGACAGACTCTATTCATCTTCGCAGCCAAATCACCCCCGACCGCGAGGGAACGCCAGCCAGGAGGAGGTACGTACCCGTCGGTACTGCATCAGCATGGTGCACGCGACGGCACGCACGATCGCCTTTGCATGATTCCTTTTGCATGATTTCCTTCGCACAACTGCTTGGTGCAACGCTGCATGCCTGCGTTGATGTAGCCAATGACGTAGCCTTGGTTGGCAGCTGACAGATTGACGAACAGGGGCGTGGTCTGGTGATGGCCTACCGCGAGGAGGGACGGCTGGCGTCTGACCATGCTACTCCAGTCTACACACCCTGCAAACCCAGTAACTGACAATCGGTGGGGCTGTCGACGCCGGCAGACTTCAGCGCTCACCTGCTGTATGGCTCCTTGGTCGGGTGCAGCAACATAGACCTGAATGCAACTTGCTAAGAATCTAATCACAAGGCATCAGACAGTGTTCTGCCGGCGTACCATAGACGTACGCGGCATACGGCGCTCAGAGGCTGGCGGTGACCGCTTACGTTCCACTAACATGTATCGTCTGGTATCCTAATGCAGCGCGCTATAATACAATAATGATAACAATATATTGTTACTTTATATAATATAAATATATATATATATATATATATATATATATATATATATATATATATATATATATATATCCCCCATGTGTATATATATATGTATATATATATATATATATGTATATGTATATATAATAAGGTACCTGCGCCTTATTTGCTGCGCATAACATTGGCAATATGCTGCCTGTATTAACGAGTCTGAAACATTAAACACCTTTGCCATCAGCATTGTGGGAGCGTGGGCCCCTTCATTAGCCTTGGCAAATTTGTCTTCCTTTTTCGGGCGACTGAATTGTGTCACACACAGTGAGGGGGTCGATTTTGTGACCTTCTGGGAGTCATGTCTCGCAAAAGTAGAGCTAGTCGATGCTCAGCGATTTCCCATGTGTAAGCTCAACAGATTTTGCTGCTATCGTAGCAATGTGTTTGACCTTAAGTGGCAAATTTAATGGCAGGTCGGACGTCATTGCACCACCAATATTTTTTGCTGCACAAGTGAACTCAACCATAACCGGTTTTCACAAGTGTGTGACACTGACTTGCATGAAGAGAAGTGATGACCCAGCCCGGCCCAGCCGGCCCCCATCCACCGCTGTCGAGGAGTTCTGACCCACTAACGGGGCCGGCGACCCGGGCGGCCCCCTAACAAGGCCAAGGGCGGGGTGCATGCGGCGAAGACGGGGCGGGGCGGTGGAGCGGCCGACCAATGACGGCGCCGGCCGGCCGACGGTGTGACCTCTGTGCCCCGTGCGTCTGCCACCAGCCGTCACAGTCCCGACCGAGAGGGCTCGCCGAGTCGGGGCTATGCCAGACCTTGGCTGTCCAGCGCCAGGTACTTTGACTTGTGCGTCTCGCCGTAGCTAGATGGACAGAAGGTCCGCCGTTCCTCTCCAAGAGCCAGGCGCTGGCGCGGCCACTAGCTTCAGCACGGCGACCTCGCAGGCTCCTGAGCGCACAGACAGCTGCATGTCGGACGTCTGGTGCTGGCTTCCGCACTCACCAGAAAAGTAGCCTTGTGGACGCCCATCTTTCTAGCGTTTTGCTAAATCGTAGGAACTGGCCTTGTGCAAGATTCATTCGGCCTTGTTCGTGGCAAGGAGCCTGCCACAGCGCCTCTGTCGCATGACTTTATGCCACTGTCGTCACTTCTGAAGCGGACACCAGGGCTTCTTTCTACATGCATCAGTCCTGCCGTTGCTGATATGGTCCTACGTCTGCGCTAACACTACAGACAGCACCACAACACATCTAGAAATTTCGCACAGACATTGCCCGGCATGAAAGACAGACCCATGGACTCGTTTGTGGACACATTGCATGTGGCATGCAGTTTTTGTGTTTTATTGCGGCATGCTATTTCCTCTCATGCTTTTGTTGATATGCTTGCAATGTGATGCTTCGTCTGACGCATTTCGCTCGTCTGAAGAAACTATTTGACTGCATGTATTTAGCTTCCCCGTTTTTATGTGTTGACTGAATGGTGTTGTTAGGCTGCTTTCCCATAGTTTGAATATTTTTAGCAGAACACAAATGTAATGCATGTGCTCAGAGTAGCTACTGGCCCAGTTGCAGTCAGAGCATCGGCAGGCTCACCGGTCAGTTCTGCGCCAGCGGTGCCGAACTGGCCGGTGTCGTGCTGGCCGGTGCCCCCCCCCCCCCTGCGTGTGCCTCGCATGCCGTTGCCGTGTGCTGCCGCCTGTCCGCCGGCGCCTGACCCGGTTGGCCTGGCAGGGTGGGCAGCCCGGGCCGTGAGACGACGCCCGACAACTCGGCCTGGCCTCGCATCGGCCCGTCTTCGCCGGCGGCCCGTACCCGCCGGGCAGCAGGAGGCCCAGGTAGGCGCGGGCGGGGTCTGGCAGCCGGCACTGGAGAGACGCTTGGCGTCCTGCGCTGACCGGCAGTTGGCGCTTCCTGCCGCTGGTCAGCGCCCGCCCGCAGTTCGGCCTGCTCCGGTGTGACGCGACAGGCGGTGCTTTGCCTGTTGAAGCGTGGAGACGTGGCTGTCTAAGTGCTGTGTAACAATGGCTGAGGTGGGGTTTGTTGTGGGGATGACTGTTTTCTTCCCACATTAGCCAACAAATGCACAGTGATGGAGATTCAGCCAACTGAAGGCGAGACATGTCATGGCCCGCGCCTTGTGGCGCCGGCCACCGTTGCGGCGCAGTGCGCACCAGCCCATGACGGGGGCGGTGCGCGATCTTTCAGCCGGCACAGCATCAGCGAGCCGTCGCTTAAGAGTCCGCACCAGCGCCAGCTGTGGGACACGTGGCGCAACACGTGGATGCTGGCCTGGGAGCGCCAGCGCCGCCTCCAGGACAAGTTCAGCTACGCCCAGGAGATGGAGAAGCTGCAGAACTTCGACTTTGACGAGTGGCGCCAGAGGGTGGGTGTCACGCCTTGTTTATATGGGTCAAAACCGCTTTGTTTCGGCTGAGATGATACATCCATGTCTTGGTTAGAACAAATAACTTCATTCGATGGCTCGCCTGCATGGATGCAAATATCTTCTCGTAGCTGATGGGTTTGGTGGCCATTGAGATCCACATTATTTAGCGTATGACATACGCCTTATGCTGATTTTGCTACACCTTACCAGGCTACTGAAAGACTTTCAAATGCGAAAGAGCTCCAACCACACTGCCTTTATGAATGTTCGTGCTTTTAGGAACTACCTTAAATATAAATGAGCTCAGCACTGTCGAAGTGTGCTTTATCGGCATGTTTCAGGACCTTGGCCCTGTGAATGTCATGACTTGTGAACAGCCGTTTCGCACTTAAGGCATTGCTTTCTTACTTCGTCGGTCATTGTCATGATCATGGTTTTTGTGGCAGTTCATGAAGTATGCCAATCAGAAGAAGATGCGCATCACCGACCTATTCCGACGAATGGACGTTGACAACGACGGTTTCGTCACCAAGGACGAGTTCAACGAGGGCATCATGAGAACACGTGAGGAAGAGGGGTTGCCGTCGCGCTTCACAAGGACCGCGGCCTCGGCGCTGGCCCGGATCTCCATTGCTTTGCTCTGCTCTCTGCCGCCGTCGTGCCATGCTCTCTCTCAGGCACATTATGTGTGGCTGCATCCCGTGGGTTCTGGGTTCAGTGCCGTGAGCGTTGTACGCCCAAAGGGTCAGGTCAACGGTCACTGCGTCATCACCATGTCAATCGTCACCATGGATCACCGTGTCTTCACTGTGTCAGTCCTCATCTTGGATCGTTATGTTCAGCTTTCGAATTTGTTAGGAGCACGTGATGTGCAAACTTTTATTTTTGTTAAAATAGTTCTAACTGCATTCTAAGGGCGCGTCAGCGGCCAATAGCGATACACGTGAAGTGATTTTGGAACGTCCTGCTTAATGTTTAAGGTTAGGAATTGTGACTGACTGTTTGTAATCTTTATTCCGTCATATCCGACGCGTTGAAAAAGCGGTAGGAACCACACCCGCGGCCCAGGTCACCACCGGCCTGATCCGGCTCTGGAGCTAGAGATCTGCCGTGAGAGCTCGTGCGTCACCACGGCGACCGCTGCTGACCCCCCTCCTCCTGTCGTCCGCAGACTTCCCGACCTCGGCGCTCGAAATGCAGCTGGTCGCTGACCGTGTCGACAAGAACCAGGACGGCCTCATCGACTACAACGAGTTCATGGCAGCACTTCGACCTGATTGGGAGAAGAACCGGCCGCTCACCGAGGCCGAGAAGATCGACGACGAGGTCAAGAAGGCCTGCAGCGCCTGCAACTGCCGCTCCAAGTTCAAGGTCTTCCAGGTCGGCGAGGGCAGATACCGGGTGAGTGCTGTCGCGGAGCGGCGGCGGTTCCAGCGGGCGGTCATCACGACATGGTCAGCTGACGTCACAGGCTGCCCGCCCCGACGCGCGGCTGGGCCCAGCTGATCCTCGCAGCATGGGACTGAGGAGTACTTGTGTACACACATCGTGTCTACCGAGCATGTCAGAGGACTGTGCGTGTACCCGGTCGGGTTTGCTCTGACGATGAGGTTCAAAGACGCGCCGGTCGAGTGGTGCCCCGGCAGCCCTGCACCAGTAGTGAGCCTGAGGACGGGCCGCGAACCGGGCGCCGCGCGCGGGCCTCACCTGATCTGGCCTGGCCTGACCCGTGGTGTCGGCCCTGACGCTGCCGCCGTCCGCTCCAGTTCGGCGACAGCCAGAAGCTGCGCCTGGTGCGCATCCTGCGCTCGACAGTGATGGTGCGTGTCGGCGGCGGCTGGGAGGCGCTCGACGAGTTCCTCGTCAAGAACGACCCGTGCCGAGGTGAGTCCTGGCGCTGCGGGGCGCTCTCGCGACGCCAGCAGGGAGGGGGGGGGGGGCAGCTGCAGGGCCGCACCAGCTGCACGGCCGAGGCCCCGCCTCTGGGGCGGCCACGTCACTGGAGAGGGCTGTCACGGCACTGATGTCGGCGTATGACGTCGTGACGCCGGTAATGCATGACCATGCGGATCTCGCCGGTGCCAGGAGACGTGTGCTTTGACGCTACGCCTTTTAGATGCCTGCTGTAGTTGCCACAAGACAAATTGCATTAACATAGCGGCCTTGTAGGAAAGAATTGGTCATTACGCTGTGACTTGGCAGACTGGTGTGTATGTCATCGCGCTTCCCTGATAACGTGCCGCATGGTTTCATCTGTGTGTAGCTGCCAACTTTTAACCGGGGCTCTTTTTACGATGAAAAGGCCTGCGATCGTCCATAGAGGAATAGGCAAAGCTTCTTTTGCTCGCAGTTACCGCGCTTTTTCTTCGATGATCGTTACAAGTGCTTTAGTCTAATATGCATCATAACATGCTTCAAGCTAGTGCATCTTAACAACTGTGTGAAGCCGGTGCCTAACTCGAGCAGTGCTCTAGAGAGCCGCTAACAGTAGAACCATAGTGGAACTAACACAACGTCCGCTTGCCCCGCCACCGCCCTGCCTTCCCTGCCCCGTGCCTGGCTCCGCCTCTGACCTGCCTTCCCTGCCTCGTGCCTGGTTCCGCCTCTGACCTGCCTCCCCCGCCTCGTGCCTGGCTCCGCCTCTGACCTACCTTCCCCGCCTCGTGCCTCGTTCCACCTCCGACCTGCCTCTCCTGCCTGATGACCTGACTCCATCCCCGCCCGTCCCGCCGCCCCGCCGCCGCGTCCACGCCGGCGCTGCCAGCCGGCGGTGCGCGGGAGTTCCGGCTCACCCGCCGCCTGCTGCTCGAGGAGCGCCACGAGCCCGGCTGCCCGATGACGGACCAGTGTAAGGCCCCGCCGTCCCCGCCCGCTCCGGCACGCTGACGCACACCAGGCCGGTCGCGGCAGGGGCATGCATGTGCTGTGGTGTGGTGTGGTGTGGCTTTGAACGGGTGTAGGAACGGCTTGGGTTGCTTGGGTCGTCTCCTCCCGTCCCACGCGTCTCGCATGCCGTGTTGGTGTATCTGCGAGCTGTGATTGGTCCAACTGGAGGATGAACGGTTGCGGGTGCTGCCGTAATTACTACAGGAGTTGCAATCACATCGATTGTGGAGGGGTCATTCGACATGCCTACGAAATGTGTAGAGCTGGCTGGAAATGCGAACAGCGTGTTTATGTCGTCTGAACTCTTGTCTTTTTATGTAACGTGTGGCATCCATACCCACTGCATCTACTTAAAAGGCAAATACGCCTTCAGGGTTGTTCGCCCAGGCACGACTTGTAAGTCATTCGCATTGAGTCAGATACCAAACATGCCCTTCCGAAATCCGAACTCAAATGGATCAGTAGTCCATAAAACGGGGGCGTGCTACCACCGTCGGTGTTACTTTGCATGCTTGCCTGTCAAAGCACTGCGCTTTCCATGACCTGGACTTTGTATCGTTGGCGTTGCAAGCATGCTTTACGTGTGGAACGCTTCCGTTTTCGTTCGTTCTTGTCCTCTGACATTTTTGCTTTGAAGGTTTGTAGATAGCCACTCAACTGCCACCACTGTATTTTGGTGTTTAGGAGCTTAATGCTGCGTGAACATGCGCAGTGTTTTTTTTTTGTTTTTTTTTTGGCATAGTCCTGCATCGGTTTACTCCAGCGGTAGTAGCCCTGGCGTCCCGTGGTGTGCCGTGTGACCCGGAGCGCGCCTCCGCCGGCCTCCGACTTAACCGCCCTCCTCACTGCATGGCAGCTAAGGGACGCACCAACGTGGAGCTTCGCGAGCAGTTCATCCTCGCGCCGGGGGTGTCGCAGAGCATGGCGCCATTCAAGGCCAAGGCCGGCAGCCCGTCGTCGCCGCGGTCGACATCTGTGCCTACGGCCGGGCCCATCACCAAGGTACGATGGCTCGGCGGCGCGGCGACGCTGGCGCATGCGCACTCTGAACCGGCCGGGTCTCGCCTCTGTTTCAGCTGCCTACTTCATGTCGCAGCTGATGCCCATTTTCGAGAGCATTCGACATCGCCAGGACATTCCGTGCACGTATCCCATTAAGGTGGAGCGGCCGGCCGCCTTCCTCCGGGTAACGCGTGACGCTGATTGGCCGCGGCGCCGCAGCTCGGCATGTGATTGGATGCGGCGACCGTGGCTCGCGTTTGGAGTGTTTGGCTGCTGTGCTGTGGTTCGGCATGCGATTGGTCTCGTAGTTCGTGGGTCGGCGGGACTTTGGCTACGGCCGCCGCCGCTCAGCACGCGACAAGCTGCCAACGGATGCTGTTTGCCGCTGGTTTGCTTCCACTACTGCTATGTGTTGTGTTTGCAAGAACTGGCCGACCAGCCCTCGTTGCTTAGTCAGCAGCGACGCCGGAGTTTAACAGCGTTTTTTCCGTGACAATGCTGACAACCTTGGAGAGGGCTGTAAAAGTTGCATATTTGTTTGCATGTATATACTACTGTCTCAATCTAATCTTAAGATTTTTGTGAAGCAGAAAGTTAATCTGTATTTGCATCTTGCCCGTGTGCTAGTTGCAATGGTAGATCTCACTGCGGCATCGCGAAGCCTCATGAATGCCCAAACCCCATTGATCCTGCATCAGTAAGTATGCGTACGTTTGTGTGTGTCGTGTATGCCGTGCACCCGCGATGTCGTAAATGCTGGTCCGATTTTTGATTTAGACCAATATTCGCGACTGACGAACGCTTGTGTTTGTGTAACGTAAAAAAAAAAATTTGTCTTGAGATCTTTATTGGCCTTCCAGGGGCGTGATTTAATTACTGATCCCGCCTAAAGCCATTTCGGGAGGTACACTGTTTTGGCTTCAGCTCGTCGTTTTCAGGCTTTAAGTAGTACATGACTACTTGGGGAAGAATCGAAATACTACTACCTGATGTTGCGTGGACGGCACCCGTGTTAACTGGTGTAACTTTACCGGAGGAGACTGATGGAGCGGTGTGAGGTTTAGGGCTAGAATCGCGTGTACTGCCACGCATCACCCCATCGCCCGGTACGCTGTCGACAAGGCGGACTGCGGCTGCTGCAGCTGCTGGGGGTCCTCGTCCCGTTCTGGCGGCCCCACTGACGCCCTTGCCTCCCCCGTCGCCCGCCAGGTGCGTGAGAAGACTGGCCGCAGCATCCCGTTGTCGCGCGCCTCGCTGTCGGGCCCGCCGGGCGCGGCGGGCGCCGAGCTGAGTCCTCACGACGGCTTCAGGCTGCGCAAGGCTAGCACGCCGCTGCGCAGCTCGCAGGGCGGCAGCAAGCCGCCGAGCCGCGCCAGCTCCGAGGCCAGCCTCGATTCGGTCGACGCCCGGCCGACCCCCTACCGCGCCGGCACGCCCGGCCAGGCGGCGCATCGCGGCGCGCGCAAGGTACGCCGCGGAGGGCAGGGCCACGCGCGGCAGGGGGCGTTACGACGCGCTGGGACACGACACGGGTGTGCGATGCGAGGCGCGGCAATCCACGGCAGCGTATGTCGCAGGGGTGTGTTCGGGGACGCGGCATGGCGGGGCGGGGCGCACTACGCCACGCCGCGGCATGTGATACTCGGCGTGAGATAGTAAGATGGTCAACTCTCACGCGCCACTAGCCCTGGCATAGAGTGACGTTTGCTAAGCGCTGCATCGGTGTTTGGCCGCGGAGCAAGCGTGCGTTGATAATGATGCTGTTTGTTAGCGCAGCTTCACGAGTACCTATTCACATCTCGTGGTGAGGGGTATTGTCGACGTATGCTCGGTTTTCGTTGATTGCGTTGTGTTTTTCGGGCATTGGAAAGTGAAAATCGTCGTGACAATGTTAGCTGAGCGTCTAGGACCAAGTGAAAACGCGCCCTAAGAGCAGAACGTCACTTCCCAGGGCTCTGCGACGCCAATGAGTAAAACCTCGTCGTCCGGCCAGAACGGCGCCTCGAACGGTGCGGACGGCACTCCGCAGCAGAGGTGAGACCCGCCGGCATGATGACGTCATACGGACGGTGTCAGCCTGCCGCGATGGTAATGCCACAGAGACTATCGAGCCCCGGCAGCCGGCAGCCAGCGACGGCAGAGCATCGACGCTGGCCTCATGTTAATTAAGTACCTCGGAAGGCAAAGGGTTATTCGAGTCAGTAGTTGCCTCTAGTGATGGTAAGTAATAGTACCTGGCTCTTTGTAGACTAGATTAAATGCAACAGCTCACTCGCTGCCATGCATACATGGTGGCGAACTAACCACCATGGTATGTGTGGTGGCTGTCAACAACAAGAGGCCTTTAGGCACTGCTTTGACCACGTGTGATGCGTGCTACTAAGTACTAACCGGCACTAATCTTCTAGGCGAATTCCAAAGCGCCCGTCCTCGGTAGCGTCCATGGCGCCAGGAGTTCCCAGTCCAAGGTATTCTACCCAATCTTGTTTCATCGTGCTTCACTGGCTTCCAGTACACTGTACCGTAATAACGCGAGCTTATCTCACGTTGACATCGCGTTTTGCATAGTACCTACTAGGCTCATGCCACGTAGATAAAATTACTGCGTAGTCCTTGCTAGAATGTTTGGTTCAATCGCTTGTTCTGATTGCGGTAAATAATATATCACACTCTTGGTTGACGAGGAGCGACATGACCCGTGACCACAGCAGGGCGCTGGCGTTAGTTACCAGTCGGCACTGCTGTGAGCTCGGACACCGCAGCAGGGAGCGTGCGCCGGTGCTCATCACGTGGGACTGGGAACTGTTCTCCAGCATAACTGAACACCATTGATTCGGGAGAATAAAGAAGTATCCATGGGATCTCCTGGGGTCAGGGATCAACGGGGGTTCCAGGGAGCAATAGCCCCCCCCCCCTCCATCCCCAGAGGCGTTACCCCTGCCCATAACGTGGCGTCAGGGGTTACGGTGGCAGGGCGGCTGGGCGGCGTGGTTGGCCTGCGTCTTTCTGGGACTGACCACCGCCGGCTGTACCCAGGAGCACCACGCCCCAGGGCCGGCGGCCCGTCTACAGAGCCTCCTCCACGCAGAGCATCCCCGCCTCGCTGGGAGCCGCCGCCACTAACACCCCGGTCGTCAGGTACTAACGGCCGCGCGCCTCGCTAACGCCGCGCGCCGCGCCGTCCTCGTGGTCCAATATGAGCTGCCTCTGCCGACTGGCCAGTCGGGCCTGCGCTAACATGTGCTTAACAAACATGGCCGTAAGCATACTAACGCCTAGCCCCTGGCGGCAGGGTCGCATAGACTAACTTTCATTTGGTCGTGGTCTCGACAATATTTGTTAGAGTAACAGCATTTGTGTGGATGTGTCGGCCGTGTGAGAGGCTAACATGAGTGACTAATTCACGCAGTGGGCGGCTCAGCCGGTCTCGTGCCTCGTCTCAGACCAACCTGACGACGGCTGGCAAGACACCTAACGGCCGCAGGTATGAATTGTAGTACGGAAACTAACAACAGATGTCGTAGGCACCACTGCTGCTGTCATCTGGGTAGGTACTGTGAGATGGTCGTAGTACCGATGGATTTTTAGCAAATGGAAATTGCGTGTGGAATATGTGGCACTTGATGACGAAAACACACCCGAGCTTAATGATTTCAAGGAAGGCCAGCCTCAAAATATGGCAACTGTGCCAGATGAAGCCAAGCTAGTTAAAGGTATTATTTTCGTTGATCTTTTCACCCGCCTTACTTGCCCCATTCTTGCTTCATCCTGCATCCTCGCGACGTCCCGTTTGTCCGAGGCAGCTGCTGCACCAGCCCTGAAAGGCCGAGGCGCGCCCTGGTAGGCCTCGTCGAGCGTCGAGCACATACCCCGAATAGGGGTTCCCGTGCAGGCTTAGACTTGGCGAACGGACCCCGAGGTGCGTGTAGTGTGCGTTTACCCCACCGTTGTCCATTGCCCCCACCCCATAGCCCTGAAACGGTCACGACGGGCTGAAAGGGCTTTAATCCAAACAACCTAACACAACTTTGACCTTCAGTCGGAAGTCATCTGCTCTTCGAATGTGACTGCGGATCCTTCGGGAGAAAAAAAATCTTGCATTGCTCAAAAATGGTGTTTGGTGGTAGTAGGTCCGAAATGTCTGGACGTCAGTTTATTTGGGTTTGTCTTCCTAGCTGTAAATCACATCGGTTGTTACCCGGTGAGTTCGCGACTGGCGTGTACCTGATGGCGTGGGCGTAAAGGGCGTGCTCTTTGTGTTCGCCTCTATGTATTTAACATGTCATTGACCTCCGTACGCCGGTTTTATTTCAGGCCTGGCGGAGGTGGTTCGCAAATTCCTGTGTCGTCCATGAAGAGGTAAATGTGTGACAGCGATGATGGCACCATGCCCGCGTGCAATTCCTGAAACGCCGTGGGCGTCAATGTGGTTGGGCGCATTTCAGCACCGTGTACACTCACTGCCAGTTCGATCTTCCCATATCGTCCAAAGGCGTTCTGATTGTTCCAAAAAGAACGTCATCGGTAAATGGTCAAGATGGCTGATCCTGCAGTCTAAAGCTTGTTTAAACGAATTGTGCATGTCCCCCCCCCCCCCCCCACCCACCGTGTGGTATAGGTACACGGTAAGCTGCGACACGCCCACCTGATCCATTTGGTGTATCGTTTGCTCTGCACGCTGTAACAATCCCGCAAAGTTTGGCTTGGATAGGGATTAATGAGAGACCAGTACTGACTGGTGGAACCTCACCTGTGCACTCCTCCCTGGCATTTGATCTCACCCTTCACAGACACATCTCTGACTGAAATGAAAAAAGGTGTCTCGCTGCCAGATATAATGAGGTCCAGAGCGTTTGAGCGTATTGCGTTATATGAGGGTTACACACACACTTACACGGACGGCTCTAAAACTTCTGATGGTGTAGGCTGTGCGTTTGTGAGCGGTGGCGTCACCCGGTCGTTTTCATTGCCCCCAAACGCTTCGGTGTTTACATCAGAGCTTATAGCAATCATTAAGGCACTATGTTTCATTGAAGTCGGTGAGGAACCCTTGCATCTCATTTTGACGGACTCTCTGAGCAGCGTTCTGAGTGTGAAGTCTTTTTATCCGTCATGTCCCCTTATACAGGACATTTTAATACGTTTGACTCATCTAGATGAGGCCGGAAAGAAAATCATGCTATGTTGGGTTCCTAGTCATGTCGGCATCGCGGGCAACGAGTTGGCTGACGCGGCTGCTAGGCGAGCAGCGCTGGCTCCATGTGTTCACTCTCTTTCTATTCCTGCCAGAGACTTTTACCCCGCAATAAAAACCTTCCTGCACAACAAGTGGCAGCGTTGTTGGGATCGGATGGATTGTAATAAGCTCAGAGAGATAAAACCTAAGCTAGGTCAGTGGTTCTCTTGTTCGCGGAAAATGCGGCGAGAGGAGGTGATCCTCTGCAGATTGCGCCTCGGGCACACATACGCAACCCACGGCTGTATGTTGGAGGGAGCCGATAAACCGATCTGTCATCGATGTGGTGCCGTCCTCATCGTTCGCCATATTCTTATTTCTTGTCCGCGCCTCGCGGAAGAACGCCAACGCTATTTTGGACAGCATGACTTGCCCCTTACCATCTGTGATATGCTAGGAGATAAATCACCATTTCTGGAATTTCAACAGATCTTTTTGTTTCTCAAACACATCAACTTTGGGACCATTTATGCGGCTCATTAGATAGGTAAAACCAAACTCGTTATGGGCGCCAAATGACCACCGCAGTCGGCGCGCCCCTAAACTCCAATAAACAACAACAACAATGACTGGTGGAACCTCCATTATGACAGATGTTAAGCTAAAGCGTTACGGCCAAAAATAAAGGGCAAGAATGTTGATGTTCCAATCGTTTAAATTTGTTGGGTTCGGATCGCTGTTTTTTTTTAGTATTTCCTACTAGTTCCAGAAAGATAGAATGGAGATAGTTTGTGGCTGGTTCAACCGCCTTGCAAAAAGGAAGGCGGGATAGTTTTTTTCGTGATAGAGGTGTGCAGTTGCGCCCCTTTATCCACACTGTTTATCCAGACGTGATTGCCCGCATCACATTGCATTGACCAGATTTGTCAGATCGTAACACGTGCGCCGTTTTCAGGGAGCGCTCCAGCTCGAAGATCCAGCGCCGGTCATCCACTGCCAGCGACACGCCCCGGGGGCAAGCCAAGAAGCCCCTCTGGCACTGACCCGGCGCGGCCAGCCCCTCCCTGACCCCCAGACTGAAGGGACCACGCCTGCAGCGGCCAGCTGGCTTATCACCCCACTTATCCGAACACGGGCCAGAGCGGAGCAGCTAGTGCATAATGATCACTAACACACACACTGCGAGGTACTCGTCCTCGGCTCTAACAGTCTTTCTATCGTTAATGATGTTGGCAGCCTGCGTCGCGACGCGTCGTGTATTGTCATGTTATTTTTGTCGGGCGCGGGCCCCGCCGGCGTCGGTGCGCGCGTGACTGCGGCGCCACGCCGCTATCGTGCGCCAGAACTACTCGAGAGAGACTAATCGTAGACGCTGGCGTGCACGCACGTGTACGGGTTTTCTAATGTTTTGTATGCGCTTGAGAAGCGTGTGTGACGTGCTCAGAGGCATCTATTGCTTGTTAAAAGACTTGGCATGTGAGAGAAGTCGGTTGAGGCGCGTTATTGAGCGAAGCGTGGGTGCGACGTCAGCTGACGCCCCGCCGCCTGACGTCACCGGCTTTCGAGTGGTGCGGCGGAGTGTGTGCTGGTTCGCAGTGCTGTGTCTGGACTGTCCTGCGAGCCGGCTGATCGGCACTGGATTCGGAGCGGTCCTGCGCGGCCTCCGATTGGTCGGTGGTTAACGTCCTAATCAAATGATGTAACATGTCGATGTCCAGCAAACCGCTTGAATAAACCGTTTGACCACTTGATCGTAGCGTGAATGCGTTAGCAAACCCTAGTTCTGGAGGATCGAAGGCTTGCTAAGCGTTCCTGGTGCTGAACGACGATGTTTACCTTGAAGTGGTTTCTCGGTCAGCCATTTAAGTGCTGGCGTGTGTGACCAGTAAGCAGAATCCCCTATTCATGTGCGCGGCGTAAATACCGTCGACGTTTCCTGACTGTGGCCCGCGCCATCATGACATCACGATATCCCAATGAAAACAAGAACAAAAGCAAAGCAGAAATGAAACGCCTTGCGAGTGCTGCATCGCGCAGGTGGTGTTGCGTCTCCCAGTTGAGGCACTGATGCGGTTTGCATAATTGTCAGTGAAGATGTGATTATTGCTCAGGGCGACGGGGTATCCATACCGGTAGCTTTGCCATACGCGATCTTGGTGTTTCGTGGCTCCAATAGTGTGTTTTGATGGGGACGGCTTGAACACATCTAAATGGCGGCCTTTTTATGCCAGGGAGGTCAAAGGGCCCGTGCCAAGCATTACAGTACATTTAACTCTTTGCCATAAAGATCTGCCGAAGAATTGGAACTTCACAATGGGAATGGGGAGTCAGGGCGCACACAACAATCCTGCTTGGCGTGAGCTCTGGTCTCAAAATGCAACGGTCAAAAAGGCTTTAAAGACAATAATGACAAAAACAAAGCATGTCACCCAGGCATATATATGATCGCATTACGGGCCGCAGTTAAGGTCATTGGGACCCCAGCTCCCCGGCCAACACAGGACACCTTCAGAACAATCGCGGACCCCGGCCGTATCCCTGCTTCGTAAATGGGTCCCCTGGGCCCGAGCCCAGTCAGAGCTAACTGCTCAGCACTGGTGATCTCCGACCTACATAGAAGTCTTCGTCGTCCCGGGGACACCTGACAGGTGCAACGAGCCCTTTAGACTGACCTTCGAGGGCCGGGGCCTTCATCCCAGGGTCGTCCCCGGCCAACCCTTTCATGCCCTCCAAATCCACACGAAACACTTGACTGCGCCCCCCTGCGTGCAGGAACGTATGAAACTCGATGCAATTCAGCGAGTTGCTCTCAGAACGCAACTTCGATATGAATAACAACGTCCTAAAACATTGGCAACGTGATGCCAGTTTGGTTGACAAATGACCATTTTTGCCAGTGGGCTGAATATCTTAGATTCTGGTGACAATTCTCGATTTCCCCCTATCTTCTAGTTCTACTTCTTTTGTGCAAATACAAAAATCTGGTGCATATTGCTTTTTCTAGACATTTGCCTTATGTTTTATTGGTGGCAACAATGCAATCGGCGGTGAAGTGTTTATTTTGGCGCGACTCATATTGTTTGGAAACAAGTGCACCCCTAAGTCAATTTGAGCTCATTTTTGGTACCCGGTTGATAGGCATGGGTTAGGAACAGGGGGGCCAGGGGGGGGGGCAGCAATGTTAATTGGCCCCCCGCTTTTCAGATTAAGGATGCATTTGGTTTACTTTTGCACTACAATAAACACGCACGTCGATTTGTCTAGTTCACCAGCCAGCTCCCTTAATATACGCCATCTTTTTCGTTTGCTCGCTGACCGTCGCTTAGTGTTATAGCGATAAGGCGGACGCCGCACGGCCTGGGGACTGCAACGCGGCCGTCGGGCTGTTGTTGCTACGACTTGCGAGCGAGCACGTTCAAGACACGTGAAACGTGTACTGCTAAACGTAAACGTATTGCACACGTGAAATATGCGCTCAGACTGCCCTCTAAATGTAAGAAATGATGTCATAAGGCGTTCAAGAATACTTTTTCAGAAGCGTCGTCATTTTCGTCCACCCGCTGGTCACAGCTTAGTATTAGCTGCTAGACCGGCGCTGCGCGGCCTACGGGAACTGCAACGCCTGGGGTCGAGGCTTGTGTTTCTAAGATTTTCGCGTGCGCATACTCAAAACTACGCCACATAACTTGTGTCATCGTTTTCGTCCACCGGTGGGCCACGTCTAAAAGTTAGCTGCTGGACTAACGCTCAGCGGATAATGGAGACTGCAACGCCTAGTGTCGAGGTCTTGTAACCATTGTAAACTAAGAGCGCCGGTGATTTATCCCATGCAGCCGTTCATCGCCTGATTTCTGCAGTTGTTATACCTCAAAATACAAACGGAATTGAGCTCACATTAGCTTCTGGTTTCTGTTCTGGTTACAAGGTGAAAATAACAACAAAACGAAGAAAACCGTGTCCCTTGTTAACAAGTTAGCAATATCCGGGGATTTGGTGGGATCACCATAAGATGGGCTTTTGTCAACCTCGTGTTCCCTCCTGGCAAGGCCCTGGCTACGTCCCTGCCTACACGCAAAAGCAGATCGAGTCACATACGTTCCATGATGGGCGATGAGGTGTCAGTTGGGCCAATTCATACCTAAGGGAGGCAGCTTCCCGGAGGCTATTTTTCTGCGGTGGTGTTGTGTCAGGGAAGATAATTCGGAGAAAGATACTGTTGCTTGGCTTTTGTCACCTTATTTCTAGCAGTTTCAAGCGTCCGAATTCGTTTCCGCCTAAAATTCTGCTACAAGTCTTATCTCTTGAAAAGCGGTCGGCGAAATGAAGGCGCATGACAAATCTGTCACACTGTGAGCCATCGATCCACTTTCAAAATTCTCATCAGCCTATATCCAGGCCGCATTTTGGCGTCCGCGCTGTGGAGGCAGATGCTTCCTGATGACCCAAAAATGCCTACCCGGTCGTGGAATTTTGCCTCTCCAGAAAAGACAATATTAAAATGGACGAATAATCTTGGGAAGCTGGATAGCCTTATTTGTCAAATGGCAGACGAGTCGAAAAGGCAAGATTGCGCACCAGCGAGAAACAGCTCCAGATGCATATCTAGCGTAACAGCCATGTCATTTGAATGAAGAGCGATAACAATCTCCATCCCTACCCCTTCCCTCCCCCGCGGTCATCGGGCTAGCTTTTCAGAAAACTTTGCTGGGGTACACCCTGAGTTTGCCCCCCCCCCCCCCCACTTTTGAAACGTTCCTACACCTATGTTGATAGGGAGCCCATTTTTTTACTTTAGCTGGATCCTGCCTCCGTGCACCGAAGCAAGCTGCCATGATGGAATAAAAGGATGTGATACACGATATCATATACATCATTCGTTCCAAAAACAAACCATGTCTTGCCTTAAAGTGTGTTTGTTATCAATCCAAGCCCAGAAAGTGGTCATTTCAACCCATCAGAACGTTTCCACAAAACACATCTGTACTTTAATATACATAACAAGAAAATATTTCCCCAATCCTTGAAATACGTACTTCGTCGACGAGCATGTACGCAATTGTGACGAAATGTAGATTGGCAGTCGCATCGACGGTTGCCCTAAATATAGGTCACTGGGCTTCAGGTGTCACTGTTTTGACTTGGAGAGGTGCGCACTGAAGGTCGTTGTAGGAGAGCGCAGAAGTGTCAGCTTTGTAGGTTGAAGGTGTGCGTTTTGAAGTTTAAAGGTGTGTATCATTTTAGTTCATATTTCTCTTGGGAAACCCCTGTGCGCGTAATTTACGCGGATTTGTATGTGGGATTTGAAGGTCCAGTAAAAATGCAATCCTGCTACTCCACTGTTGATTGTGGCGTTCTGACTCAGCAAAGTTAAGCGTTAGCGCATTATTGTTTGCTGATGGCATGCATTGATGCATTGAGCGGTATGTCCTCTATTTTTCTACTTAAGTACTGTTCTTATCTGATACACTGTATATGGCTATTTGGTTTCAAAACATAACTTGAAGCTTGAAAACATATTCTTGATTTATCCACTGTGCTGGATGTCTATGCCAATAACTTCATCTATGTGCTGAGCTTCACACTTGTGTTTGCCAAACTCAGGCAAGGCCAAGGTGTGCTGAGGGATTAAGTTATTGTTACATGACAAAAATGATGAGCATTTTTCCTGTAATAACATCTTGAACATTCTTCTCCTTGAACCATTGACTCTTAATGAGCTGAAACTGGTGGTGACCAGACTTTGGTTGCTTAGGTATATGGCTTGTGTGCATTTGAAGCATTGCCTTGATGTTTTTCCCATGCATGCCACATTCAGTGTGACATTATTTTTCAGTCCACAGTCCAGTTTCTGCCTAGACATACTACACATGTTTAAACATGATATGCCAAGCATGTTTGGTCTGACAGTGACATTGCAGCAAAATATCCCAAGCATATTATGATCAAACAGCCTGTTCATAGCCAAATATCATGTTTCCACCATGATCACATGTAGTGAGATGCTAAGTTGGCTCTTGTTCAGGCTGGTTGCCCACTCCTACCTGGATATGATGTGAAATAGAACATAATAAGGCTGTTTAAGAGCTTACTGTTTCATGATTTGGATCAGCCACAAGGTGCTACTGTTTAATGTTCAAGTTTTTTGTGGCTTGGAAAAGTGCTTGGGTGGCACTTTATTAATTGGTGGTATTTTATAAGCTTTTGATGCACAACTAATATTTTAGCTAATAGCTTAGCTATAATTAATAGCTTATATGACATAGCTGCACAGCATTATGCTTTGAAAGATGTGGTGATTGTATGCCCAACTTGGGTCTCTTGGATTCATATCTGCTTATTTATGCAGTCTGTGGCAAGATTAATGTTGTGGAATCCATGTGCTATTTCATATAAAAATGTGTCATTTTGTTCTACTGGCAACATATGTGCTTGACCAGATATAGCTGATTAGTGTGCTCTATCCCACCTTGGTACGCTCTATCCCATCTCTCCTGCTGTAGCCACATTATAATTTGCTACTTTTGTGAATGTTTGTAAGTGCATGGTGCATTGGACAAGTGAACTAGGGTTAACTTTCACCTGGTTGAAATGGGCTGCCACACATTGTTTTGACCCATTTTTACAGGCGTTAACTGGCATAAACTGGTAGAAACTTAAGTTGCAATATGCCCCATTTTATTCATTTTTTTACCAGAATACAGATGCAATGTTCCTGAATCAGTCAGAACAACATGGGCAATGAATTAATGCTACGTACATGTCCAGGTATGCTCTGTATCCAACGAAACTGATGGGCAACTTACACTATGATCTTGCACTTAAAGGCTGTTGTGCATGGGTGATTACATTTGACTGCCTCTGTTCTACTTAGCTGTAATGTACAATGGCTCAGATCACTGTTTGCATTAACAGGCAGTCAATACAGACATGTGACACCAAGTAAGCAAATGTGAGACAATAAGTTCAGTGAAACCTGCTTCAAATCAACTGGCAATAATGGATGCTTCAAATTTTAACATGAAGGCAATGCAAAGTCACTGTCCAGACATGCTGTATGGCTGCCTTTGCGATCTGCGTGTGCAGTCCAAAATAAGATCAACCAAGCCCATAAGGCATGCATTAGTATGCAAGCCACATTGTGCATGGTACTGTAGTAGGCCAGACACTGTTTTAAAGACACTGAGACATAGTGACATAAAGACTTGCAGCCAACAAAGAGCCACAAGGGCCCATCATGGTGTGCCTTCCTCAAGTCCAACAGACATCCTCAAGACTTATATTACCACATGGCCTGCCTGATTTGGCTTTAGATAAGATCTTTAGACCAACAGAACTTGTCCAAAGGAATTAAAATGCCTCCACAGAAGATCTTTCTTCAACTTTGTTTGACAGTCCACTCCAGTGACCCACTGCCATTGGACTAAATAGTATCTGCCTTCCCATAGTTTTATTCCTGCCTTTGGCTGCATAAAACTGGTTTCTTTTGTGCCTTGGCCTAATTTCCAGTGCTCTATATAGATCTACCTTGTCTCTCCCTCTATTTATCTTGGATATCTATATCAGACACCTTTCACTACACCTTTCTAACTCCAGCACCTTTTTAACACCTTTATTCTAACACCTTTCTAAACTCTAGGTGAACAACATCTCAACTTTTACCTTCATCTGTCTGACAAATAACATGCTCCACAAACTCTAGAATATTTGTCAAACAGGACCTATTAAAAAGAAAACCATGCTGACTACTATTTGTTGACTGGTGCCTATCTTATTATGGTTGAATGCTAACCTTAACAAATTTCATTAAAATTTCACATACCAGGAGGTAAGACTATGGGGTGGTATGAGATATTTGGGCTGTGGCCCCCCAAACCAACCATCTTGGTTTGCTTCTGTATGATTTGACAACACATTTATCCCTGATTGATAACATATTAATTTCAGACTGTATTTTTGCCACATGGTCACTACAGTATTGTCAACCAATCACTTTGTCACCTTATTTTAATGGTGGAACTGTAGTGGCATACCAAGACAAATACAGGTTTTTTTGTAATGGTAGCCTGTTATTTTTGTTGGATGAAATAATGAAAAAACACAGTGGCTTCTGCTGGTTTTGCTATCAGTAGCTCCTCTCAGCTGTTTTACATGCTTGGATTGTGATGATCTGACAGAAACTTTCTCAGCTGGCTGCTCTTAACTACCTATGGTTGTTGGTTTTGCCCCCACATACAAGTATGATGTTGTGCTCGATATGGATGACAATTGTTTGCATTGCTTGTTTGATGTAATGGGAGTCTATTCCAAGAATGTGTAGGTCAGTTGATGACATATGGCAATTGTCATCAGTCAGCCCTTGTTTTTGTCACAGTTTTCTCAGTATTCAATGCACCATGCCTACTAACACTAGCAATGTGTAGTAGACAGAATATTTTTTGGTTTGATGCACTTTGCACATTTCTCTCATAGCTCACATCATCTCTGCAGACCCTTATTTGTTGCCAGAACCTGACAGTTTTTTTACGCCAGTAGTTTCTTCAGCTGGTTATAACAGATAAAAAACTGTCTGACAGAAGTGTTTGCCGCCGGCTGCTGCCAAGCCTGAAGCGCACCTGTGATAATACGCCAAGTCACGCGCACACGGCAGCCCGGTGTCTTCTGATCGGGGAGTGAGCAGAGAGCGCTGCGGCTGAGCGATAGCGCCGCACCGTGTGTCCGGCGCTGGTGACGTCTGCGCAATCTCCACTGGGAGCGAGGACGTGCGTCGGTTGGCGGGCGCCGGCGGTGTCCGCCGTACCGCTGACCCCGGCCCCTCTTCCAGCCGCCGCCATGGGCCGCTCCTGCCCTGCCGCGCTGCTGGTGCCTGTGCTGTCGCTGCTGGTGCTGGTGCTGGCCGGGTCTGGCGCTGCCCACCCGCCCATGCCGGCCGAGTCTGCAGGTACGACACGGCCCCGGCTCCGCTGCGGTCCGGCCGAGGGCGCCTTCAGGTCCGCGGCGGGGAGCGGAACACGAGCCCCCGTCGCCACCCGGGTGTTGTGCGGACTGCTAGCTCGTGCGCTCCGCAGTGTGCATCGGTGGTTATCGCCAGCAGGGCTCGGCAGTCGTAAGGCTGCACGGGAAAATGACTTTTACCTTTCCCTCAGCCGGATCCCAAAATCACAATGCATCTGGCATCTCTGGTTACGTTGCATGTATTGTCTCCATTCAATTCGTGTTGATTGAGCTGGGACCGAACAGCGCCCGTTGATTATCCGTGACACTACCACCAGCATTCGACCGCGTCGAATGTAACCTTTATCATCACGTCAAACTTCTGAATGTGAAAACGGGCGCGGGCGCCGTCAACGTCAAAAGCCTGCGGAAAGCACACCGAACATATGGCCAGTGCCAACTGCATGCTCGCCCGCCCAAGAGCACGGATTGTCCCATGTGAAGCATGACTGTTGTTTTTATGTTAACATCGCAGAATAATGCCACCGTAGTATTCCCACTTTGTATGTAAGTGGTGACACTGAAGCGAACATATCCCCGCCCAAAACTTTTATCGCGTATCGCGTGAAGCATTCTGCCACAACTGTGAACACCCTCCGAGGCTCGGCTTGTCAAACGGACTCTGGCGTGGGAGGACGTCCAGAAGTCTTCTCGCACGCCGTGGGGGTCATATCGTAATCATGTGCGCGGAGCTGCGCACTTCTGCTGCTTCGGAGGGCACACCGCACCGTATAACGGGCGTGGACGACTGATGGCGACTGGTGCCCTGGAGGTGGACTCAGCAGAGGTTCGTCCGCCGACCCGCCATGGACGGGGTCGGTGCGCCATCACTCTCTCGGTCGTCAGCTCCCAGTGCTGTGACCTGCCTCTCCCCTCACCCTCGCCGCCCGTCTCGTCCTCAGAGTGTAGCGCCGGCCACGTCGGCTTTTTATCAGGCGGCGGAAGCCGCGGCCCGGAGGCCGGTGCCCGCTGCTGCGGGGCGGAGCTGAGGGGGCCGCGCGCGGCCGCCGGCCTCGCGTGCGGACAGTGCCGACCGGCGGCCGGGTCCCAGACATGTCCGACAGGTACGGTGAGGCGGTGTCCGTCGGCTCGGGCTCCGTCCGTCTGCCAGCCGTCCGACCGTCGGCCCGACGCCGGCTGCCAAGGGCCGGCCATGCGGCGCTGTAGGCGGGCTCGGCCTCCGATGCGTGCTTCCGGCGCGGCGGCCTCGTGTCGCCTCCGTCGCGGGACTCGCTGGCTGCTCGTGATGCCGCGGTAGACTGCTCGGCTGCTCTGGCGTCTCGCGCCGCTCCGTCGCTGGCTGGCGCCGAGGGACGGCGGCCCTGCTGTAGTGGGTTCGTCGGCGTCCGCTCGCTCCTGGGTCGCCTGGAAGGCCGGGAGTCAGGACCGGCCTGCCGTAGAGGGCTCGGTCGCTCCGGCCTGCTCGTGTCGCGGCCATTCGTCGTGTTCGGAGGAGGACGGTCGCGGCTGCTTCGCCACGCCTCGGGCGGGCCCGCAGCCGGTACGCACTGATCGTGCACTCAGCTTGCATGTGGCTCTTCTGTCGTAAGGGCGGCCTTTCAGCAAGTCTTGTGGACATTTTTCACGACGCTGCGTCCGCATCGTGTTCAGCCAGCCGTAGCAGGCGGAAAGGACTGCGTACCAGACAGTCCTTGGCGGTAAGCCATTCTCCGAAGGCTAGCTCTGCATGGTCTGCGGTAGATGTCGTGCGTGCGGACTGGTTGAGGGACCATCAAAATTGACGGCATGATAATGGTTGCTCCGTTTGCTGGGGATAACCACCCTTAACCCGTGCTGGATTGAAACCAGTGCCCTGCTGCTGACTTTTTTCTTGCCGTTTTGTGTTACCTTAGTCATGTCACGGCTAAGTAACAGCTGTGTGTTGGTGTTGTGAAACCGCTTCTTGATTCTATTTCGGTATGTTATTTATTTCGGTATGGATGGCGCAACCTTGGTGGACTCACTTACAGACACGCACCAAACACATACACACACACGGTTACAGATGTAGGCCTCCCCAATGCATGAGAGCTGGTCGTGAAATGATGTTGTAAATCGAACGGTATTATTTTCCTGGCTTACAAGAGGTAACACACAAGACCAGACGCATCAGGCTGCTGAGAGAGATAGTGAACAATCTGATTCTAAAGCAGTACGGCCCTCCTAAAAAAAAAATGGTACAACGCACATGGACATGCTTTGCCGGCGGCACGGAGCCACCCACCGCAACACGCATGCCTCGCTGCAGTCACTCGCGGGGACTTGACCACCAGCTGAGTTACGTGCCGTGCTGGCCGGACGCATCATCGCTGGTCCGTCAGCCGGGGCGGCCGCCCGGGCCGGCTCGGTCCGCCCGCTGGCCCGGCTCGAGTCCCCGCACGTGGTCAGACTGGACACTGCCACGCCGGACGGGGCTAAAGCGTCGCGCGTTATGGGTCGGCCGCTGTATCACGGGGGCTTGGCGCCGCTTGGGGCCGGCGGCCAGTCGTGTGCTTGCTGGATAGTGACGGCAAGCGCCTGCGTCACTACGCGGCCGTGAACGGCTGCACGCTGTACGGTACTCACTGGTCCACGAGCTCAGTCCCACCGAGGTGCGCCTCGATTACGCTGTGGAGCGCCGCGGCCGGCGTGTGCCCCGCGCGTGCCCCGGCGCGCGGCCGCCGCCGCCGCTCCGCCCTGGGCTGACGGCGTCGACGGCGGTGCGCCCTCAGGTGGCCAGTTCTGGCAGATCACCGACATCCACTGGGACCAGACGTACAACACGTCGGGCGACGCGTCCGACTGGTGTCATGGGAGCGGCCGGGCCGACACCGACAACGGCGCGTTCGGCAACTACAGCTGTGACGCGCCCTGGCCGCTGGTGAAGGAGGCCGTTCGCCGGATGGCCGCCGTCCAGCCGCAGCCTACGTTCATCATCTGGACCGGGTCAGTAGCTGAACATAACCTGTCACTGTGGTAGGGATCGGGCGGGAGTGTGGCCGCAGACATGGTCGTCTCGCGAGCCTAGCGGGAGTGTACTGTTGGCCTGAATTTCCAGTGCGGCGTGACGATGTGGCCTGCTGTTGCCCCGTCCGCTCCCTGCACGCGAGGCGAGCAGTGCAGGACTGCGGGAACAGCAGCGTCTCCCCGTCGCACGACGTTGGTGTGGTTTGGCTAACGCCGTGCGGGCGGCGCGGTGACACGTGGTGGACGAGTGTGCGCGCGGGAGCCGGCCGTGACCGAGGTGTACGCGCGAGGGCCGGCCGTGACCGAGGTGTGCGCGCGAGAGCCGGCCGTGACCGAGCCGCGCGCTCCGGCAGGGACAACGCACCCCACTGGGACAGCGGGCCTGACTTCAAGTACATCTTCTCGGTGGTCGACAACATCACCCGGCTGATGGAGGAGTCGTTCCCCGGCGTCCCCATCATCCCGTGCCTGGGCAACCACGACAGCTTCCCGCCGGTCAGTCGCCGCCGCCGGCGCGGCTAGCCGCGTGCGCTCGTCGGAATGCATTGATGTGTAATGCAGCGGAACGATATAAAATCGTGGAACAATGTTTTCGTTGTCCTTATTGTAGAGATAAGGGTCTTACCTTTATATTTTCACGTGTCAGCTTATGTGTGGCGCATGACTGAGTTCTGCGTTGTCAGCCGCATAAAGTGAGTGTGCTGCGTCTTTTGTTTGCTGTGGCGACGTTAAATTCATGTCTTACGTGTTCCGATTCCTGCCTTCGTGGTGTGGTGAAAGCCTTTAAACGGGCGTGGTGCTTCTTTGTCCACCATGCCGTCGAGCTCTTCCTTTCTGGATGGCTCATCACCCGCATCCCCGACACGCCTCTCCCCCCTGTGACGGCTCCCGACATGCGAGCCACCTGACGCCGCCGCTGACGCTGCCGGCGTCCGTCTGACGCCGCCGCCGGCCGGTGCACCGCTGCTGACGCTGCCGGCGTCCGTCTGACGCCGCCGCCGGCCGGGCGCCGCCGCTGACGCTGCCGGCGTCCCCTCGCAGAACCAGTTCCCGGGCGGCGACAAAGCGTTCTATACGCGCTACCTCTCTGAGGGCGGCTGGAGTCGGCTGCTGTCGACTGACGAGCAGCGCACGTTCGGCCTGGCTGGCTACTTCGCCCGGCGCATCAGCGACCGGCTCGTGGTAGGTGTCGAGGTTGTGTACGGCGCCGCTCCCGGCGCATCAGCGACCGGCTCGTGGTAGGTGTCGAGCTCGTGTCCGGCGCTGCGTCCGGCGCATCAGCGACCGGCTCGTGGTAGGTGTCGAGCTCGTGTACGGCGCCGCTCCCGGCGCATCAGCGACCGGCTCGTGGTAGGTGCCGAGCTCGCGCCCGGCGTCGCGCCCGGCGCACCAACGACCGGCTCGTGGTAGGAGCCGAGCTCGCGCCCGGCGCCGCTCCCGCCGCCGGGCGGCCACGCGAGCTCGCCGCGGCGGCAGTGTGGCTTGTCGTCGTTTCCGGTGCCGACAGGAACTTCCAGCGTGAACAGCCGGTCTCGCCAGCTCAGCTGGTCGGAGTGCTTGTTTTCGAATGCGATTCCTTTGGCGGGGTCGAGCCCCGTCAAGCGCCCGGTGCTTGCCCCTGGCTGGGATGGTCTGTGACCGTGCCAGCGGTCATGCTCAAGGCCAAGTGATGTCAGAGGGCGGGGCGAAGTGTGCCGGAAATTACAGCATATTAAGTCTGCCACAAAGTTCTTCCGTTCACCTGGCATTTCACGATGGCATAGAGGGGTGATGGCTCCCACAGCAGGCACTGCTTAGCGCGGGCTCTGGCCCCAGAAATCCATCTAATCAAAGGGTTGAGACTAAGTGAAAGAGAAATGTAATAGAGAAATAAAGACCGAAGTTCACGGGGAGGTCAGCACTCCTTCGCTCGCGTGTGGCGCGTGGCCACTCGCAATGTTCATCACATGACTTCCGGGTGTGGAGGCCAACGTGTGCTCGAGTCTGGCGGGCTCATGCTGTGCAACACTGGGCAACGTCTCTCCTTACTCCGGACCGCACCCCGGTCGCGAGGGCCCCTCGAAGCTGGCCGGCCGCCGTGGAGGCCCCGCTGCTCCGGCCGCTGCGTCCTTGGCGTGGCCCGAACTGCGCTCCACGTGGCGTGGTCGGACCGGCCAATGGCCGCCCTCCGCCGCCGTGACGTCACGTGGGCCGGTTTACCCGCCGGGCATCGGGCCAGACGGGGTCGCCAGGGGCTTTGACCGCACGCAGAAGTGTCACTTCCCAGCCGGCGTCGTTGGACGGAATTTCCCTCTAATGGTGGTGGTAGGCGGGCGCCGATGCCAGTCGGATGATCTCCCCAACGCCGATTGTTTGACGAATGCATGAAGGGCGCACAGGTGTAGACGAATTGGCTTCACCAGACTACTGGGTGTTAAACATGTTGTATGTGATGGACATGCGTAGGATTGTTGGTTATTATGAAAGGCGCCGATTTCGGCGCGACGGTACGATGTTGAAAAATGGTGCCCATCGTCGCAGATTCCAAGGAAATGTCGATGTAAAAGACAGTGCTGGGTGCCTCCGTGCTCCGTGGTACGGGGACTTTGCCGGTATGTGGTCCGTGTCTGCCGCCGTACTGTGGACCTCGGTCATGCCGTGCGACGTCACCGGAGCCGCCTTACTCCGACTCCGTCTGTGACCTACCTGCAGCGTCTGACCTCCGCCGTCCCCAAGCGCCCGATTTCTGCGGGCGGCCGCCGCCGAACCTCCCGCGTCAGCTCGCCGTGTCTGCCGCCAGGTGATCTCTCTCAACACCAACATCTACTACCAGCCGAACAAGGCCATCTCGGCCAAGGAGCCGGACCCCGGCCACCAGCTGGCCTGGCTGCGTGGCCAGCTGAAGAGCGCCCGCACCGACGGCTACCAGGTCAGTGGCGTGTCGGTTGGCCGGCCGGGACAGTTACTGGCGTCGTCCGCCCGGATACCGACTCTGTGGCGGTGGCGGGCGTCAGAGGGAGAGAGAAAAAAACGACACAAAAACGCGGTGTAGGAATCGGGATTTGACGTTCGCTCGCGGTTTCCCGGCGATGGTCTGTGGGTTTGGGCGCTGGTTAACCGTAGGTCGCTGTGGCCTGACGCTTCACTCATCTGGATGCGTATGTCGTTTGCCTGTTGAGTAAGTCCCATTGAGTCGCGTCAATGTTCTGTAACCTGCCCATGTTTAATTGGACGTACCTCTTCACTCAGCAACGACAGGGTGATGGTATCCACCTCAAAGGCTCTTCTTCCCTTGGTTGTCATTTCGCGGCCCAATGCGACGTCGGCACCGCTGCTGCCACCTGAGTAGGCCGAGGCAGGCCTGGCCCGGTGTCGACTCGAACCTGGATCATCCGCCGCTCAGAGGCGTCTCTGTCGGGCCGATCGGCGGCCTGTTGTCGCCTGTTTGGCCGGCTGGGCCGACGCAGATCAGTTTCGAAGTCGACCGGGGACCGCAGCCATGAGTTTTCCCGGGCGAGCGCACCTCGCAGTCGGACGTGCCTCTCCGGCCTCGGACGTCTCGCTCTCACCTCTGACCGTTCACTGTGACCTCTGACCTTCGCCCTGACCCCTGCCCGCAGGTGATCGTGGGCGCCCACATCGCACCGGGCTACTTCGAGCGGAACACGCAAACCCCCTTCATGTACGGCAACTACAACGACGCGCTCATCAGTCTGCTGAACGAGTTCTACGAGGTGATCCTGGCGCAGGTGTACGGCCACGAACACACCGACAGCTTCCGCGTGCTGGGCCAGGTCGACAGCGGTAAGTGGCGCCCAAAGGGCACGGCGAACGCTCACGTGCTTTGATAGAGGGGAGGTTGTGGGTTCAGTTGTTGGAGTGTCGACCGTTGCCGTGCGTGGCCGTGGCGCCCCGTTGGTTGTCCGTCTCGACGGCGGCCGGTGGCGCGCAGAGGGCGCGGCGGACGCTCACGTGCCTTGATGGATGGGATGTTACGGGTTCAGTGGGAGTAATGGCAGTTGCCGTGCGTGGCCGTTGCGCCCCGTTGGTTGTCCGTCGCCGCCAGCGGCCGGCGGCCGTCCAGTATGCAGTCGCTGACGTCGCCGTGGCGGTCGGCCTCCAGGCGGCCTGCAGCTGCGCTCAGCCATGTTCCTGGCACCGTCGGTGACGCCATGGGTGCCGGCGGCCGGCACCAACCCGGGCGTGCGGCTCTACACGTACTCGGCGTCCACGCTCACCGACTACAGCCAGCATGTGCTCAACCTGACCGCCTCCAACGCGGCCGGCCGCGCCCAGTGGTTGCGCCTGTATGACGCCGCCGACACCTACGGCCTGTCCGACTTGAGCGCGGCCAGCATGGGCGACCTGTACCAGCGCCTGCTGGCCGACCCGGCGCTGTTCGACACGTACTACAGGCTGAACACGGCCGGCTACAGCGTGACGCCGTGCGACCTCGCCTGCAAGCGCTCGCAACTGTGCGCCATCGGCCACCTGCGCGAGGACGACATGGCCGTCTGTCTCAACTCGGTGGAAACGATGAACGCCATCGCGTCGGGGCGCATGCTGACGCACGGGGCGGCGGCGGCGGCGGGCGCCGTGCCCGCCCGGCCCGCCGCCGGTCGTCCGCTCCGCTCGGCGCTCATAGGCCTCGTCGTCAGCCTCCTCGTGCTCGGCCTGCTCGTGGCGTTCGCCGTCGTTGTGGTGCGCATGCGCAAGCGGCCGTCAGCGCCGGCGACCATGCTGCGCAACGTGGCGTCGTTCGTGTCGGTCGGCAGCCAGGGCTACGAGACCATGACGTAGGCGGCGGCGGGCGGAAGCGGCGCCTGCGGACGACGCGGATAGATGTCGCTGTAGTGGACGTAGCGGTTCCGGTCGTAGCGGCCACTTTGGACGCAGTTTCGCAGTCCCTGAGGTCGTAGAGGTCTTGCCGTGGCGTCGGGCACCGCTGCGCCGCTTCGCCCGGCGGCGGAGAGGCTGACTGGCGGTCAGTAGCGAGTAGCGGGTACGTGGCGCGGCACTGTCAGGAGTGAGCCTCCCAGCGGCGCGCCGGGACTCTGAGTGAAAGCGGCGCGCGTGCTGCGCGTGGCGGCGCGCGGACCGGCGGCAGCGTGGCCAGGGTTTGGCGGGCAGCCCGGCGGGGTGTTCACAGTGGTGCTCGCAGTCCGGCTGTGGTTGTGTAGCAACCTGAGTTGTCAGGAACGCTAGGCTTGCGTAGCGCACCGCACTCGCGGCGGTGGAGCGTTTGTCGTAGTGCGAGCGTACGTGGAGCTCAACGTGCCCGTTTGGTGGCAGACAATGGATTGTCATTTGCGGAATACCACGTAGACCAGCGCACCTAATACGTGTTCGCACGAACCAGCTGGTTGACGCGTAGTGTGTTTGGTGCGTTTGGTGGCCGATCATATTCATCAGCACGGCTTGCCGTGAGATCGTTTTTCGCCTGGTTCTGCAATGTGCCAAGCTGTATGTGTCTTATGTGTCTGCGATCGTTTTAGCTGTTTACCACCGCGTTTGTATTTAAGGTGTGAAACTTGTAAGAAAGAACTTCTCGCTGTGGTGTTTAAGGCTGGTGCTGATGTGAAGGTGGTGAGAACAGCCCTCTCACTGTTGTGTATAGATGTGATACTAGATGTGAGAATCGTTTACGTTTACGAAAGACTGTGACCAGAATGGTCGAAACGTAGCTCTGGGTTGTGCCAGCACAGGACTCGCTCAAAGGTGGCGAGTTGGCGTGCCTGGATCGGACTGTATTAGATAGGTCTAATCTTAGTGGCAATTTAAAGCCAATGTAATTAGCGTCGTGTTCCTTCAGCAATGAGCGGTATCCCGTGTTCAGCCGTGTATCGCATGAGTCCCTGCTGCCAATGAAACAACGCCAGATGTCCAGATGCGATTAGGGGCTATGAGTGCATCGGCTTTTTCACATGTCTTTCCCTTGTCAGCGGCGCCAGTTTTTGGTGGTCTGGTTAGAACGCTGCGTCGCCGGTCCGAGTGAGCCACCGCCTGGGACGGTGTATTATTTATGGTCCCGTGTGTTGATGCATTTATGATCCCGCGAGAGCTCCCCGTGCTGAGGACCGCTGTTGAGCTCGTGCGAAAGTCGTTCGTGGGCTGGCGAAGTACGTAGTATTTTCGGCGTCGCTGTGTCGTTCTGGCGTGTCGCGCCCGGCCGTGTGTACTTAATTCACCGGCGGCGGCGCTGTGGGAGGGGCGGGGAGGGGAAGGGGGTCTGCAGTCGAGCGTGGTCTCCGGTCCGGGGATGTGACTCTGGGGTGTGTGGGACGGCTACATGTCTGGTTTGAGCGAGCGTGCTGGCCAATACAGGTGGAGAGAGGACGGGATTGATGCGTGTGTTGATCGGCGGCTCGCCGGCTGTTCAGCTCCGGCCGGAGTTACGGAGGCGGACGGCGTGTGTCGTACCGCGAAAGGCAAGTGGTTAGTGCGAAAGGAGTTGGCATTGACTGCAGACAAATCTGGCTCGCCTTCTGCGCTGTGTGCGTTTTTGTGGTTCCTTAATCGCATTATTTTTAGTTTTTGACCCATATGCAAGCAACGTTCGAGAAAAAAACCCTTATGGACCGACCTGCTTGCTCTCAGTGGGTACTTTGGTCTCGTAGTTTGCAGCGAGGAGCAGACAAGTTGCCGCGAATTTTCGACGTTCGTTACCGTCCAGTGCGAAGAGAAGGAAGGGAGAAAGAGGAGCGGCGCACGCACCCGAATAAATAAAAACTTTACTGCCGGCGCTTCACTGACGCGCCGACGTCACCGGGCGCCATCGAGCGTGATGCTCTATTTCAATGTCGCTATGTGATCCGCTTGGGAGACGGTGCTTTGATATAAATATTGCAGTGAACAGGTGTGACCGGGTGTCGGCTTCAGCGGTTGTTGAATAAGGCTGCAAAAGGGAAGATGCGTCGTGCGCGCCGTTTCCCGGGGCTGGAAGACAAAAACAGGTTAAGGACAGCTTGTGCTATGTTGGGTCGAAAGTCGAGAGGAGGGGTGATGCGCAGCATACATCAGCACTGTCTACCTAAATTGCCCCATAGACAGAGCAAAAAACGGCGTTTGCATGAAGCTTCGATGACGGGTACTAAGCACCCCACTGGGATCGGGCAATACCAGAGTCATCAAATTGCTTCGCTACCGGAAGCAGGACGTGCGTTGAGGTGTGACCAGCGCACGTCTGTGGTTGGCTGATAAAGTCCACAAATCGGCTCTGTCGATGGGAGAGGGCCAGCTGTCCCACAACAGTGCTGCGTACGTCCGCTGCTCGGGGGCCACGGAGCCTCGGCAGCGGGGAAGCCCTCCGTGCAGCTCTAAACAGATGGCGCCATCACCTGCCTGCCGCTGCCACTACCTTAGCCTGCGCACAGCCCTAGTTAAGTCGCAAATCTGCATTTAAAATTAACATGCTAATAGGGCATCTGGCGGGACCACGTAATTTGTTGGCAGCCCGTTTACAACCCTCTCTCGTGACTCGACAGATTGCCTGCCGACATTGGGCGCCCCCCCCCCCCCCCCCCGCATCGGCCTGACCGAGCCTGTAAGCTGACCCGGTGGGTGATAGAGCTTGCGGGATCAGATTATGATGAGATAGCTTGACTGTAGCCAGACCAGCTCAGAGATGTGATTAATCATTCTCGCAAAACAGGGGAACGACAAGAGCATGTTGAGTAACTTCTGCGGATATTATGGCACGGAAAACGCAAAACATGTATAATAGTGAACCCACGAAGATTGACCTTTCGGATGAAGACAGAAACCGGTGCAAACTCGTTTCTCCCTCCCCTCTTTCTAATCGTGGTGAGTTATGGGGAAAATGCGCTGCATTATTAACTACCGCGGCACCGTCGGGGTACTCAAACAACGTGCAATGGCTTTCAGCGCTTACATTTTGTCTGTTACATGATTTGGACCTTGAAAAAACATCCACAGCGTTTTCGGTTGCTTTCAGATACAAGGAAGTAAGTCGGGAGTTGTTGGACAACGCAACCCGGATTTTCAACAGGACGTAACAGGTACGAAGGAACAATGCTTGTCGATCGTTTCCAAGACGGTGACTAAAATACATTCGCACACTCTCCGTACGGTATAAACATTTCATGCAAATTCGTATCAAACAAGGCAGACAAATACCGCGATGAAAATGTACAAAGATATGACATGAATATGTGCCATAACTTACGAACACAGCTGCGACACACGCCTCAGACACCAGTTATTTACACTAACGTTGTCGCACAGTCTCGTAAAAATATGACCAAAAAGTTAAAACAAAGCCATGTCGCGCATGAAAATGGGGTTAAAAAGTCAGATGCGTTCAACAACATAGAATGTGTCGGTGGTCTTGAACCTACGTGACAAATGCTCTACGCTCCAAGCATAAAACGGACGACTCGCGCAAAGCACGGTACCGGCCCTGCCCGTCAGCGGCCAGGGAGAGCGGCCGGCTAGTCTCACAGGAAGGTCATGCTCCCAAGGGCGTCCGCTTTCAGCGTGCCGAACACAAACACAGCATTTGCGCCGGGTGCCGCTGCTAAGGACCCGGACATGACCTCAGCGCGTGGCGCTTTCACAAGCGTGGCCCTCCCAGCGCGGCTCTTTCAGCCTATGTGGGTGCGAATGAACGATGACTTGCGACCATGCCCACATGAAGGCCCGTCTCAAGACCACACCAAAAACAGGGCGAGTAAGACGCGAGTTCACTTTGTACGTGGCACCTCCTGGACACGTCGGGTCCGGACGCGGCTACGCTCCAGGCCCTTGTGCGCGTCGCGTTCACGGCTTGCTGTCTCTCGGCCGTTAGCTGCCCGGGCCGCGGCCGCTCCAGTTGGCGCTTCTGGCTGCTCGCCCGTCCGCTCGCACGCCACACGCATAGACCCTCGGCGTCGAGGGAGGTCACCACCCTGATCGACGGGGGTAGTCGTCGGCGGAGATGGCCGCCAGTGGAGACCGCTGACCCGGTCAGCGTCGGCCGGCCCGGCCAGGTGCGATCAAAGGAGACCTCTGACCCGGTCAACGTCAGCCGGCCCGGCCAGGTGCGATCAGCGGAGACCGCTGACCCGGTCAGCGTTGGCCGGCCCGGCCAGGTGCGATCAGCGGAGACCTCTGATCCGGTCAACACCAGCCGGCCCGGCCGTGTGCGATCAGCAGAGGGCAGCCGTCAGCAGCGCTGGGCGCCGACACGACGGCCGTCAGCACAGGCCGCGGTCAGCGTGCGCCGTCTCGGCCAGGTGCCGCTTCAGGTGCAGCGCCAGGTGGTCCGAGCGGGAGAAGCTGCGCTCGCAGCTCACACACTTGAACGGCTTGGCGCCCGTGTGCTTGCGGTAGTGCCGCGTCAGCTCGTCGGAGCGGGCGAACCGCCAGTGACAGCCCTCCCACGAGCATCGGTACGGCTTCTCGCCTGGAACGAACAGGACGCAGCCTCAGAGGTCAGGTCGCCACTCACATCGAGACAGGGGAGCGGCGCTCGGAGGCAGGCGGCACACGGCCCTTGGCTACCGCGGATGCATCCGCCAAGTAGGAAATATGAGGTAAACGGACGCTTTTGCGAGTCGTTCGCTGTAGGTGAAAGACAGTAGGAAACAAAAGACACGTCGCCATTTTGTTCCACAGCGTGACATGCTTCAGTATGGCACATGACAAGGCTAAAATTAGTTTTCGTAGATCGTGTTTCATGCCTTTCAAATTGTGTTCAATATCTTATCGCAGACTGTGCTCCAGTTGAGCAGAACATACTGTGCAATACATCTGGGGCAATGATCATGGCTATCTTGCCCTAGCGGCTATATTGAAATTAATTTCAAACACGCAAACACGAAACATCGCAATCATTAAGCCGCGCGTGCGTGGGCTGCAAAGGCTTCAAAATCACAGGCTGCTGTGTAACGCTCTGTGCTGCATCATGTCAACATCAAAACACGGGTTAAAATACAGCGACAAAAATTGTCATTGGGTATGGGAGGCATATGGGTATGTCACATGGGTATGGGAGTAATATTTGCCAGTGTGACCGAAAGCAGCCGCTGCGGCTGTCACGTGCTTCAGCACGCGATATAGGCGTGAGGGTGGCCGCCACGACAGGTGCCCGGTACGCCTGCACCGGCACTAGCACACACACGCCAGCCATCAACGCATGGTCGGGAACAGCCAATGCCTAATTTCAGAGCAAAAATACGATAATTGAGCATCGAGCCAATTGAGCTCGACCGCAAGCACGCCATCATGGCCCCGGGCTCAGAGCTGGGTTGGGGTCCGACACACATGTTGCCTGCAGGTGCTGGGGCGGACAGGTGGGGGCTCGTGTTTTCGTGGTGCCGTCCCCACAGGAGCCCGGGGTGGCGCGGCGCTTCGGCAGCGGACAGTGAAGGTAGCGCCGCGAGCCCCCTACCGGTCCTTGGGTCATGGGACCGCCAGCTGTCGGCCGTTGCCCCGGTCACAGGACCACCAGCTGTCGGCCGGTGCTCGGGTCACGGGACCGACAGCCCTCGGCCGGTGCTCGGGTCATGGGACCGCCAGCTGTCGGCCGTTGCTCCGGTCACAGGACCGCCAGCTGACGGCCGGTGCTCTTGTCACGGGACCACCAGCTGTCGCCCGGCGCTCGGGTCATGGGACCGCCAGCTGTCGGCCGTTGCTCCGGCCACAGGACCGCCAGCTGACGGCCGGTGCTCGTGTCACGGGACCACCAGCTGTCGGCCGTTGCTCCGGTCACAGGACCACCAGCTGTCAGCCGGCGCTCGGGTCATGGGACCGCCAGCTGTCGGCCGGTGCTCGGGTCACGGGACCGACAGCTCTCGGCCGGCGCTCGGGTCACGAGACCGACAGCTCTGGGCCGACGCTCGGGTCACGGAACCGCCAGCTGTCGGCCGGTGCTCCGGTCAGCCTGACCTTGCCGGCCCAACATTGTGAACGCCCGTGTGGCTGAAGGTCATTATTTAGTGCCCTCGGGCAGCGTACTCGTGCATTGTGCATAAACGTAATAAGCAGTAACTTATGAAGTGTTTGGGGTGGGCCCTTAAAGCATTGTAGAAGTCCGCGTGTCGAGGAACTTATCTTGGTATATCGTGTAAGAATACGCTTACAACCCGTGGAGTCATGATGTGCATTGAAATATCATATAATCATCATCGCATCGCATCACCGAAATATCAGACCGGCACTGTCGACATCAAGTTTCGGTATAACGGCGGGCGTCAAATGCTGATGAAGTTTGATGAACTTCGACGAGATAGTAGCAGTAGCAGGCAACGAGGACTTTCCAACACTTATACCACCTGGGTGAAACGAGCTTCACTGCGGTGATATCAATGTATTGCGTCGCTGTGAAGCGCGGTAATGCAGCCATGAAACGCGAACATGACTTGCTACACTGATGATCGTGTGCCAGTGACGACGATAAGACAGGCGGAATCATGCCAAAATAAGTGAAGTAGAAGTGACCCCGTCGACTTTCACAGAATTCGACGCGTTTGCAAGCCTGTAATATTTGTTCTCGAGTTCACCAGCATTCCGAACAAGTTCTGTGAGCTTCCTCCATTCAGCACGACTTGGACCCACGTATAGCTCTCGAGCAATTACGATAATCATCTGTGGGAACAAGCCACGCGGTCGCCGCACCACGCTGCAGCGTGATTTTCAGCGGCGTCTGCACCGACTCCAGTGACGCGGGCGCCAGTGCACCCGATTAAGTATCGGCAGTCGGGCTTAGGCCGGCCGTCTTGCACCGACTCCAGTGACTCGGGCGCCAGTGCACCCGATTGAGTATCGGCAGTCGGGCTTAGGCCGGCCGTCCTGCACCGACTCCAGTGACCCGGGTGCCAGTGCACCCGATTGAGTATCGGCAGTCGAGCTTAGGCCGGCCGTCTAATGATGAAATACGACCTCGCAGCGGTGCCGGTTATTAGAAAACTACAGACAGACGCGGACGAGCGCATGAGTTATGGGCCGAGTTATTGGCGAGGAGCGGAGGAGGATGGCCGTAAACGCCTCCAAGTCAGCAGAGGTCTGCACTGCAGCAGGTGTGACACGCGCGACACATTGCCCCATCGGGCCGCACGCTGACACGGAACGGCATTATGTCCGTCTCGCGGGGTGCCATGGCACGGGGGCAGATCGCGGCGGCGCCAGCGTGACGGCCTGGCACCGCCACAAGGCTGATGAAGTTCCGTATCGCAAGGTAAGCTGAGCGAAGCCTGGACTGGATGGCTCAGGGGGTTCATCGTCCTCGGTGCCTCTGCCAGACTGCGCTGTTGCCGCACCTCGCCTCGACAAGATATGTTAAAAGTGGTCGATCGTAAACCAGGGCTCGTCTTCTCATGCCGTTGTGGTTCCTCGAAAAACAGAAGATGCGCCCAATCCGGCAGGCGGACACATGTTTACGAGAGAAACGTAGTTTGTTAAGTACATTGTTGGGTTGGATACATCTTAATTCTAACTAAGAAGTCAGTTCTCACAAGTTTTTCTTCAAGATCTCAGATTGATTATTTGAATATTGGCTTTTCAATTTCATGTGTCATTAGCAAAACCTTGTATATTTTTGTATTTTTCAGCAGCCTGTGATAGGATAACTAGTTTCGCACATCCAATGATAATATCCAAAGTTAGCGCTTCTCCTTTTTAACATTTCAGTATCGATGCGATGTCAGTAACCGAGCCTGAGTCTACTAAATCGTTGCCGAAGTCTGGCGTGGCTTACTATTGCAGGTCATGACCCACCGCAGGTCCCGGCCTGCCGAACGTCCGGCCTATCCGAGATCCTTGCCCACCGGAGGTCGTTGAGCATAGGCGAGGCCAACTGGGACGGCGGACGAAAGGATGCAGCACACTTCAGCGCCAAGCGTGAGACCAGCCCCCGGACGGGACGCCTCTCTCGCCCTTCTCTCGCCTTCTCATGCCCTCCTCTCGCCTTCTCTCACCCTCTCCTGCCCACCTCTCGCCCTTCTATCGCCCTCTCATGCCCTCCTTTCGCATTCTCTCGCCCCCTCCTGCCCACCTCTCGTCATCTCTTGTCCTCTCTCACCCTCTCCTGCCCACCTCTCGCCCTTCTATCGCCCTATCCCGCCCTCCTCTCGCCTTCTCTCGCCCTCTCATGCCGTCCTATCGCCTTCTCTCACCCTCTCCTGCCCACCTCTCGCCCTTCTCTCGCCCTCTCGCCCTCTCGCCCTCTCCTGCCCACCTCTCGTCATCTTTCGCCCTCTCTCGCCCTCTCGCCTCTCGTCCTCTCCTGCCAACCTCTCGTCATCTCTTGTCCTCTCGCCCTCTCGCCCTCTCCTGCCCACCTCTCATCATCTCTTGTCCTCTCATGCCCTCCTCTCGCCCTCTCTCACCCTCTCCTGCCCACCTCTCGTCATTTCTTGTCCTCTCATGCCCTCCTCTCGCCTTCTCTCACCCTCTCCTGCCCACCTCTCGCCCTTCTATCGCCCTCTCCCGTCCTCCTCTCGCCTTCTCTCACTCTCTCCTGCCCACCTCTCGTCCACTCTCGCCCTCTCGCCCTCTTGCCCTCTCCTGCCCACCTCTCGTCATCTCTTGTCCTCCCTCGTCCTCTCTCACCTTCTCTCGCCCTCACACCAGGCCTGAGTTCTCCGTCTCCAGCTGACTGAGCCGTCGACCAGCCGCCAGGTGAAGCTCCTGCTGCATGAGGGCCCAGCACCGAGCCTCATCCTTCCTCATCCTGCTGCCAAGCCTCCTGCAAACCCGGTCCGGCCAGCGGACTGCCGCGGAGCGTGCGCACCCGCCATGAGCCCGCTCCCCCTCCATCCCTCCTCCCCCCCCCCCCCCGCTCTCACCGCCGGCGCAGACCAGGTGTGCTGGCAACCCAGCCGGCCGATACGGCCGCTCGCCGGCGGCGTAAGTGACGCGGCAGCGCGGCGCGAACAGTGCTGGCGCCGCCCGGCGGGCGCAGAATGGCTGCTGGCACCTCCGCCGACGGCGAAATGGGGCACATTTTCCTACTGTGCCGTCTGGGTGCCCTGGCAAGGCAGAATAAGTGGGACCATAGGTGAGGAAAAGGAGGTGCTTGGTCGGGAACTGTGTAATGCTGTGAAAATCATCACAAGGAGTGGTGTACTTGCTCTTGCCGCTTGCATCGTCCAACAAATTTGCACGCATCTTGGCGATGAATTGGTTACCAAGTTTGTAGCCATCCGTTCTGACAGGCAGATACGCGCTCGTATGACATAAAAATCCCTGATCCAAGTCCTTGGTGAAATATGTTAGGAATTTTTGCGTCCAAGGAAATCCCTCTAAAATGCGAGAATAAGTACTGGGTCGAAGAGCGTGCTTCGATAAATTGTCAAAGTGCATTCTGGATCTTGGAGGCTTGGGGAATAAGCACCCCGGGATCCGTTCCGAAGTCCATTTCAAGATCTAGGTGCATGCATGTTGAGAAGCAGCAGCGTCAAAACA